TCAAGTCCCACCCCCACTGGCAGTTAAAAGGAGGAAGCAGCTGCAATCTCACATTACTCTGAGAAGCACAGAGCCGGAGACAGAAGCCTGAAGATGATGAATGAGACTTCATCGAAACGTTGCCTAGATACTTCGAATCTTACGCGGGAGAAAACCCGAACAACCAAAGATCCACATATATATATATATATATATATATGCTTTTTATGTACAATTTATAAGATTAATAAGAGACTAATGTCTTCTAAAACAGTTTGCAGATTGCTACTTTTTTTTAGCTAGGTATCAATCAGTATTGTATAAGAGTGTGCAGGATATGTTTAGTTTCAAATTGATTATGAAGATCTCAACCTTCAACAAACATTCAGCATCATTTCCTATTGAATGCTAGTGATATAATTCTCATAGTAATTTAATAACTTAATTTCCATGACTTCATCAAAATATACCTATCAACATTTTTACAATTATTTGAGGTACAAAAACTTTTGTCATTCCATTTGCTGACTTGATTAGATTTAATGAAGTCATCCTGTGTGTAAAATTTGCACAATATATAATACTTATAACTAAGATGCAGTTATGAGAATCTATAGAAATCATGGCACAAGCACTAAAGAAATGAATGAGAAAGATTCTTCCTCTTTGCCCACCAATATAATCTCATCAGAATGTTGTCTGTTCCCTCCTCTCCTGGATTGCTTAAACATATAAGATTAAACATAGAAGTCTTTTGCCTTGTTATGGTTCCTTTGTCTGGACAAAATACATTCATTTGGAGATGCTGATGCCATTTCATACACGAAAGAAAGAAGAATCATACATCCATAATGAGTATTGTAGGAAAGGAAGCTTTGCAGCTGTCCCCTTGGAGTTCAGCTAATTACCTCCAGTCTTGACTTTAAGCTTCACTGAGCTTGCTTCAGGAGACCTATTGAGAGAGTCAACTGGATGGTGTGGCTTAGATTCTATGTAAACAATTGGATAAATTAATTCCTGTTGCAGTTTTCAATAATTAAAAAGATAAAGTTGTGTGAAATTCTTATACAATGGACAAACAAAAGGCATGTTAAGTAAATCTTTACTGCTCCTTCAGGTTGTGTCGCAGTATTCTAGTCTCCTTTCTCCAATGAGTGTTGAAGCTGTGATGAAGGTGATAGATCCAACTACAGCTAGCAGCGTGGATCTTAGAGACATTAAAATTGTTAAAAAACTTGGGTAAGAGTTAGACAAATTCTGAATATTTGTATTTTTATTTCGTATTGCTTGTTCACTGAATATTTATTTTTAGGGGCACAATTGATGACTGTGAACTCGTTGAAGGGCTGGTCCTTACACAAAGAGTGGCCAATACTGGAGTGACCAGAGTGGAAAAAGCTAAAATAGGTCTCATTCAGTTTTGCTTATCTGCTCCAAAAACAGATGTAAGTTGCTTAATTTGTTCTTTTGAATCAATTATAGGGAGTCTTCTACTTACAATCGTTCATTTAATGACGTTGAAAGTTACAATGGCACTGAAAAATGTGACAAAGACTGTTTTTCACACTTAATGACCATTGTAGCATCCCCATTGTCACATGATCAAAATTCAGATGCTTGGCAACTGATTCATATTTATGACAGTTGCAGTGTCCCGGGCTGATGTGATCACCTTTTGCAACCTGACAAGCAAAGTCAACGGGGAAGCCAGATTCATTCAACAACTGTGTTACTAATTTTAACTATAGTGATTCAACGGTGACAAGAAAGGTCATAAAGTGGGGCAAAACTCACTTAAGAACTGTCTCAGAATAGAAATTTAGGGCTCAATTGTGATTGTAAGTTGAGACCTACCTGTAACTTAAAAAAAGTTTCTAAAGTATTGATCTTGTATTTGATTAGTAAAAATTAAACAGTATGTAAGATTGTATTGCAGATTGCCTATCTGTGCTTGTTAAAGAATACATTAGGTTCACAAAGCAAGATCTGTCCAATTTGTTTTGAGCAATCCTCTCAACATAAGACTAAATGCAGTATTATGCAAGTTGACATTGTCTCATACAACTAAAGCATTCTTCCTTTCCTACAACTATCCATAACTACAGCAGATTTCTGGGGACAGACAATTTACAGAATTTGCAAGTTAGAATTCAGTCTTGTTAACTATTTCATTGATGAAAATCACAGTTTATCCATCCACTAAAAGAATTGTTTTTGGAAGTCACTCAAGGCACCCTAATGTAGTGTTCTATAGAAATGAAACAAATTGACAAGAACTATAATGCCTATAAATAGATCTTTTGTGCCTAAAATAATTAAAATGTCAGCTGTAATTTACTACTTTGCCAAGCCTTTATTTTCATGTAATTGGTTTGTGGCATAGCTATTAAATTGTCTATTATGTACGAGTATACTTAACATTCTTTTTAAATTTTTCTCCTAGATGGATAACCAGATTGTTGTTTCTGACTACACTCAAATGGATAGAGTCTTGCGTGAAGAGAGAGCCTACATTCTGAATTTAGTTAAGCAAATTAAGAAGACAGGTTGCAATGTATTACTCATTCAGAAATCCATTTTACGGTATGTTTATTTCAATGATTCATATTTCATTCATTTTTAACTAGAGCTTTTTCTTAGATTTAAAATTGTTCTTGTCATACCTAATATATGCAAACTCCCTAGAGTTTGCATACTGCTAAAGCTATAAGTTAAAAACAATGGAAATGAGACTTTTTTAACACTATAGTATTTTCCAGTACTTGGTAATGAGATGGGGAAGCAAAATAATTAATTTCATGGTTCCAGAATGCTTGGGAAATATCTAAAACCCATGTTTGATAGTAGGATTAGAGTAGGAAGAAAACAAAATTCTGTTCTAAAGTTTTGAAATCATTTTATGCCAGATCAGAATAGTTCTGATAATGCAGTGCTGTGATGGTATGTATTAATAAACCACATCAAATGTATTGGTTGTAGGGATGCTCTAAGTGATCTGGCTCTACATTTCCTGAACAAAATGAAGATTATGGTGATCAAAGATATTGAAAGAGAAGACATTGAATTTATATGTAAGGTGAGATAATAAGGTTTTTGAAAAGAATTAATTCTCAAGTAATGGAATATAATAATCCTGACAGTGTCATGAGTAATCATGAATTGAAATTGATTGTAACAGTGAATGAATCTGTCTTGGCATTTGTAATGCTATAATAAAAAGCAGTCTATAAATAGCTATTTTCTTAAAAGGTAGCTTCTCTGAAGATTTCTAAGACCTTTTACAGAATAATCTTCTCGGAAGCTGTGTCATTAATTTATAATGGGTCTTATTTCCAAACAAATTGATTGAGGTTCGGTGGTAAGGCACTTCCAGTGCACATATATTTATCAAATATTCACATGTGCTTTGTAGAATTGTTCCCATTCTGCTCCCTCAGTTGTGCTCTCTTACAAACAGCTAGGTAGTTGAGGTTACAAATACATGTATTTTCCACATTAATGCATTTTCTTAATTGCTTAGTTGTAAGCAAAGGGAATGAGCGAGAAGCTACTTTGGGAGACGCATAATCAGCCCAGATATTGTAACTCTGAAGTATCTGCTTCTTTACACTATTTTGTTCATATCTATGATGCATCTTGATAGATTTGACTCACCACTGAGGACTTTAAAATAGTATATATGTGGCTATAGTCCTGTATATGGCCAATGTATGTGTTTTCATAGAAGACAAGGTGGCAGTGGTGGGTAGGAAAATGAATAAACTGTTTTCTCACTCCCTCAGTCTTGCAGTTTGTCCCTGCTTTTAAAGGAATGAAATAGCTACTGTTTTGCATTCCTCTCAGAGAAGATTTCCGCTCTTCTTTGAGCAAAAATAATGTCTCTGGAAGTGAGGAGAGGCTGCTTCTGCATGTTAGGGTACATTTGTCTCTGTTATGAACAAATAAGCAAGAGTGTATGCTTATCATTTTTGGGGGATGGGGAAGCTGTGTCATCATGGAGCTGTATGCACATTTATTTTCATTCAGGCCTGGAAGTAGATTTGACATCTGCTTGGGAAGTTTACCTGCCTTTTGATTTCCAATTGCTTGCACACTACAGAACATTCTGAAAAAAATTACATATCTAACCTAAGATGTATTTGTGTATTTTTTTTTAAAGACTATTGGAACTAAGCCAGTTGCTCATATTGATCAGTTCACTGGTGACATGCTGGGATCTGCAGAACTTGCAGAAGAAGTTAATTTAAATGGATCTGGAAAGCTAGTTAAGGTAGGATAAATCTAGTCATCTTGTTCTGAAGTTAAAGCAAATTTTTAAAACTGTTTGAATGGATTCTATAGGATAACAAGAAACAAAAGCCCTCCTTGCTAAGAACTAAAGGAAAACTCTTGAAAAGGAAACTGAGACTGTCATTTTGTTGTTATCAGTGCTTTCATAGTTCTAAAATGTGACCCCAAAAGCAGTAAGCTTTCTTATCTGAATATTCAGCATAGAGCCTGTTTTGTATTTCAGATTACAGGCTGTGCTAGCCCTGGAAAAACAGTAACAATTGTGGTACGAGGGTCTAATAAACTGGTGATCGAGGAGGCTGAGCGTTCCATCCATGATGCTTTGTGTGTTGTCCGTTGTTTGGTCAAGAAAAGGTACTGCATCATCTTTTTGGACCAATAAAATCATCATTCAAGTTAGCAAACTACATCTTAAGATGCATCTTAATTTTAATTTCAGAGCCCTAATTGCAGGTGGTGGAGCACCAGAAATAGAGTTGGCATTACGCTTGAATGAATATTCTCGTATTTTAAGTGGCATGGAATCTTACTGTGTTCGTGGCTATGGAGAGGCTCTGGAAATTATTCCATCTACCCTGGCTGAAAATGCAGGCCTTAATCCGATATCCACTGTTACAGAGTTGAGAAACAGACATGCACAAGGAGAGAAGACTGCTGGCATTAATGTCAGAAAGGTAATCTGCAAACTAATAAAATAAGTGATGTACCACATTTGATATTTGTAAAATTCTGCACCAGTGTTATTTTTCATATTTATTGCATTGTGCATAATTCAGTGGATTGATATTACAATATAAATTGCAGCAATGCAGAGAAGTGCAATAGGTTTGTAGTTATATTGTGTTGGTTTGGGTGACTCAAGTTAGAAATGTCAGTTAAACAAAATCCTTTTTGCTCTTAGAATATTAGATATTTTAGCAAGTGGCAATATAACTGAAGTAGTTTTTCAAGTTCCCATAATGGAAATTGTGACTGAATGTTTTTTTTTATAGCCATGTCTATACAAACAGGCAGCTAAATAGCAATTCACTTCAACAATCCCACAAGTCACATAATAGCAACTTAAATGCATGTCTCTGGCTTTTGTCCTGATGCTTCTTTCTAATACATATACAATTTTTGCAATTAGCATTTCAACAAAGAATACTATTTTTGCCCTTGACACTGTGGAAGTCGGAGCATTCTAGCATGATCTGTAATGCAACTTGCACGTTCCACGTATGAAAATAAAGTGCATAAAGGCACAAGGGTGGCAACATTTCAATATAACTCATAGACTTTATTCTGCTGTTTAACAATAGTTGCTATTCAGGCAGATAGTCGTTTTCTTATGTCTGCCACATTGGCCATCCGAAACTGCTGATTCTGTTGTGTGTATGGCTTCAAACCTATCTGGCCAAAGTAAATCAGTGTCATCAAACTTGATGGGGGAGTCGTGTTTGCTTATAGGGGAAGGTAGGGAAGGAAGGTAGGGAAAGAGGCTGGGTCTTAGTCACTCTTCAATAGCTAGTCAAGTATGTGCGGTGTTAATACATCATATATGAACATCCACACTAATTCCTCATGAATTAAATTCCATTAAAGAGCCCTTATTTTGAGAAGGGATATTTCATTCAAAAAGAAATACTGAATTATGCATAATTTAATGGGAATAGAAAATGGGGAGGGGATTTTTAAAAACATCTTCTCTTCATTAGTCCCTTCACTAGTCAACTAATTAAAATATATAGTATTATTAAGTATAAGTATGCTTCTGGGTCCAATTCAGGGTGTTGGTTACCACCTTAAAGCCAATCATGACATGGTCTAGGTTATCTGAGGAACCACTTCACCCCAAAGGAATTGGCCCACCTCGCACACCATCAGAAGGGTTTTTTGAACATTGGCAAAGCTGGCTAGGAGCTGTGTCCTGCTGAAATTTTGCTAGATAGCCTTATATCTAATACTTCCTTCTATGGGTTTTAGGTATGTCAATTTAAATGGCAGTCACATAGAGAGAGTAATTGGTATATGTCAACAAAAAATAGCTTTTTAAATGTTTTAAATTATGTTAAAAGTGAAAGTGAGGAAGGGTGTTTTTTTGAATATCAGTACATGAACAGTGAGGCATCTGGGTATCATTTGGATACAAGTAATGGTAATAATATTTGTTACTTTAATAATTATGTAATTGTAATGTTATACATATTTATGCTAAAATATAGGCTTTCATTATTTAATTGTTCAGTATGTTAGAATGCCATTCTGATGACAATAACAGTATCATTAAAACATACATAGTGGCACCATCTCTCAACATCTAATCTTTACATCTAGCTTTTTAGTATATTTTATAGAAATATGCATTAATGTTCCTCCTATTTCTTGTTTCTGCCTCTGTTCTAGCTCCTAATAGAGCCAATCTTGTGTTATAAAGCATTTCCTCTATCCATCATCTCTTGTCCATTTCAGTATTTCAATTCTTATTTGTTTTTTGACTTGCCTCCCAAACTCCTCCCTTGGGTCTTTATCTCTGTCTATCCCTTTCCTGTTTAATCTAAACATTCCTTCCCTCTCTACTATCTTTTGCTACCAAGCCTCCAGAGGGTCTTCCCAAGTCCTATCTTCTTTTCAAGAGTACCTTTCTAATGATCCAATAGCATTTTTTGGTCTTTTAGTATGTATTTTCCCTGAATTATTTCATAAATCTTTATTGCCTTGTCCTTCTTGTTTTATTTGTTGATTTATCTGTTCTATCTTTTTCCCTGGTCTTTCTATTATCTCCTCTATTTCCTGGGCTTTTTGATCATTCATTATCCCTTGTTGAATATTTTCTAAAATGAGGAAGTGTTGCCCTCTGTAGTCTTGTTGATCTTATTTGCATAATTTAATAAAGTTGATGTGATTTTTCATCCTACTGTGTTGGCAATAAAATAGGCATAAAAAAACCTTTTATTTCCTGCAAAAAAAGTCTCAGGGAAACTGTTTCTATTTAAGTTGTATTTTCTCTTTGTATTTATTTACAAAATCACTAATCATCTCTGTAATTAAGGTTTATATTATATTAGTTCCCTATTTTAAATATGGAAAAAAATGGTCAGAATGTTTATTTCTTTAATTTGAAAAATGTCATTTGTCTGAGATACCTAGAAATGACTTTTAAGCTCAGTGATCTTGTATTCCTATTGGTCTGATTTTTTAAAAAGAAGTCACTCCCCTGGAATTACATACTAGTTGTAAAACTCCCAACTCTCACAGATTTAATATGTAATTTCTAATAATAGCATCATTAAAAAGAAAACAGTTGCTTGGTGTTTAAGGCAGCAGTGCTTCATATATATGTATATGTATACATATACACATGCACATGCACACATATGCATATATAAAATTTCTCACAAGAGACCTCTACTTCTTAGGAGCTATGGCTGACATTTTTTATTTTTTTTTAAAGTTCTGTAATATCCCTTTTAAAGTAAGAATTATAGCCAGTACTTTAAGGATATCCTCACCATAGATTTGTGTAACAGCAATTTCATATTGGCAGTTCTGTTTTCAATGAAGAAAGAGTTCAATCATAAATAGGGTCATTTTCTTGCTGAATAAGCAGAATCAGATTGGATACTTTTGCATAGTTGTGTGTGTGTGTGCGTGTGTGTGTGTGGCAGAATTTTGCTAATGGGTACAGCATATTGAGAAAACGTACTGGATGAGTATTTTTTAGTACAGACATTTGAAAAGGTATAAATGTATTTACCTTAAACACATGAAAGCTCTTAGAAATACATGATATCATGTTTAAGATGCTTGCCGATAATAGTACTTTGATATTGTGATTTTTAAATTATAGGGTGGCATTTCAAATATCTTGGAAGAGCTGGTGGTCCAGCCTTTATTGGTGTCGATCAGTGCTCTCACCCTAGCTACAGAAACAGTTCGCAGCATTCTGAAGATTGATGATGTGGTAAGCTATTTAACATTCTTTCAATTGCTCTAACGGCTTTTGTATCTAATTTTTGTTAATTTTTAAAATCAAAATGATAGTTCTTACCATAATATAATGGTATGTTGGGTGAAAATTATTTTGTAATTATAGTTATGGTAATCTGATGTGGATAGTTAGGCATGTGCAATTGTTTTTGAAAACAGAATACTATATTATGGAGAAAAAGGTTGACAAATTATGCTGTGGTATTATTCCTATAATATCTTATGTCTTTTTTTTTAACAGGTAAACACTCGATGAAATGACTAAAGGAAGGGGCAGTACTCTTTAACTAGTACACTATCCTATGTTTGGAACTTGGCTCCTGCATTAGACACCTACTTAACTTGTGGTTGTGTTCATGTTTTGTCAATCTAAGTTAATAAAACCTCAACTTCAAAAGACAGACTTTGTTTAAATTCTTCAATCATAAGCTTACAGAGCTAAAAACTGCTTAAATTGGCAGGATTGCGGTCTTTTTTAAAACTGATTTCAATACCTGTTTTCAATTTAAATCAAGGAATTTAAAGTAATTTAAATTTAAATAATGTAATTTTAATTTAAATAATATTTTAAAGTAAAGTATTAGTAATCTTAACTACTAATTTTCTCACCCATTCTTTAACATGCATTTCGGAGTGTTTTTTAACTTAGTGTATTTTTTTAATGCAAGAGAAATTTCCCAAACAAGTGCGAGGAGGGAGAATAGGTGCAAATCACCACACGTCATGACATGAAACAAATACCATGACTTGTATTCTGACATCAGGACACAAGAAAATAATTTCATTTGTGTGATATCATTGCCTGTGTATCATTTTGGTATCAAAAATTTACTTCCATATGCTGCTTGTGGAAACGTCAGCTTCTCTGGCCTCTTTGGTAGTTTTAGCAATAAAGTTCTTGAACAAAGCTGTTTAGGAGATTATGTGCTGTTACATTGATTTCTGAAGTGTTGGGCTGAAAACCTTGCAAGATACTAGCCTTCAGTAGGAACTCTTTGAGCTCATAATTTAGTATGAACAGTATTCTGCATTTGGTTTATCCTTTGGATTGAACTGGGATAAATATTGAGAAAATATGTTTTGTAGAATTTTAAAACAGAATGAGTTCATAAATAAAGGGAACTTCCTAAAACAAATATTTTACTACCTGATTTTTAACCAGTTACCTCAATTCACATTTTAAGAGTGTAGTACAAACTATTTTCAGTTGTGATCTTAATGTTTTTCAATTATGTCACTATACTGATAGTTCTCAGTTAATGGCCAGTAACTCCTTTGCTAAGCAGCATGGTTGTAAAGCACAAATTTATGTGACTGTGTCAATTTATGACGTAAGTTCTGGTTGTGGTCATTAAGCAGATCATGCACAGTTAAGCACAAGTTATGGTGATGTGACTGCAATTTGTGACTTCCTGTAGGCTTCCCAATTAAGTTGGCACTGAAGATTGCAAATGGTGATCATGTGGCTACCAGATACAGATGTAATTGTATGACAGTGGCCAAGGACCTGAATTAACAAGTCTAACCATGGAGACAGTGCAACAGCTGTAACTTCTAGAATGAGTCATAAGTCTCATTAGATACCATTATAATTTTGAATGGTTGCTCAGTGAATGGTCACTAAGGGACCACTACCTATAGTTAAAACTTGAATACCGAATAGGCAGAAATATACCTAAACGACAATAAAAATACGTTACCTTTTTATATTTTAAAATCTTCATGGCAGTTGCTTTTTTCAAATTGTGCTGAAAGCACGGGAATTCAGTTTTGATCATACTTCCAGATGTGATCAGTAATGGTAGATGAGCGTTGTACTATTTCAGTACTTTTCATATCAGATTTCAGATTTGAACATGTTTTGTAAGGTAAGCTACGTATTCTAACTCAGTATATTACACACTAGAGGTTTGATAGCTCTGTTCATCAAATGGCTGACAAGTGAATGATGGAGTCAATGCACAATACACTAAAATGAAAGATAAGCTGAAAACTAAGCAGGGGTTTACAGTAAATAAAGCTGATTGCAATATAAATCACAATACCGCAAGCTTACAGCTAACTAGATTATCACTGCATTAACCGATCACTTAATGTTATATGAATTGATTTAAAAGTTAAGGTTTATATAGGTGTTCCCCACCTTCCACCTCTTGAATATAACTTAGAGACTAAATCTAAGCATTTTTTTTTTAATTTGGGAAAGTAAGAATTTGCTTCTGAAAACGGCCTGGATAATATGATGAAATTTGAAGCAGCCCCTAAATAGAAAGTGTAGTTCTTTAAAATGGCACAAAGCCATTTCCATTAGTATATTTCCTTTGGGATTAGGGATTTCATTAATGGAGAAACTAATGCAGCTTCAAATTGTAATTTTCTTGAGTGGTGACTTAAGTTCACTGACATAATCTGTGTGAGTTAAATTATTGACAGTAGCCAAATAATTAGTTACTTTAAATATTTGGCCAGGAATTTGGTAACTTGAAAATTTGTATTAGTGATTATAAACCACTTATTTACTACAGCTTTTTATAAAATGGGAAATACAGTATGGGGTGATTTTAATCTTTACATTGTAAAAATACGGTCCTGAATAAAAAAAATATCTTTCTGGTTTGGATCCTATTTTGGCAGAAGGCACACCAGGCTAAGAACCATGCCTTGTTTAAGAGCTAACATCTCTAGAATGTAATGTGAAAATGACGTAATTACGTTTTCTAATACTTCTAAAAACACTTCAGTGATCCTAATTTTTAAAAAGTAATTTTTTGATGGGACTTGATAACCTTGTCCCATTAAAATACTGCTTGGTTGCGGTTCTAGATTTTTCCCATTGTGTTCGGAAATTCTCCAGATGCCTCTTAACGTGGGAAAAGACGGGAGAGGTTTCAGAACATGAAGAATTCCAAGAAACAGATTGCACAGTGGGGAAGCCTCTTTGTACACGACCGGGAGGTTGATGTCCTCTTCGGGATGCCGTAGGGCAGAGGTGGAGAGCGACGGCCCTTTCCTGACCTGTGGACTTCAACTCCCAGAGTTCCTGAGCCAGCATGTGCATAAGTCATAAAAGGGCCATCGTTCCCTACCTCTGCCGTAGCTGTCTGAAGACTCTAAGCCAAGTAGCCGTAGCAACCAAACACGCAGGGAAGGGGCTTGGTAACCAGGCTAGCAAGGAGCTAGCTGTGGCCTCCCGTCCTTTGAAAAGCCCATGGACTCATCCCACCGAGCTGCTTTGCTTACCGCCTCCTGCCTGCATACGCCGGTGAACCCGCGCACCAAGGCGCCGGCGGCGCTTTATGAACGGGTACCAGAAGGAGCCTCGCTTAAAGATGGCGTGGGGCAGGTAGGTGGCTGTCGGACCGTCTTCGCCATCCGCGGGTTGTTGTTGCTGCTGCTGCTCCCTAGTGGCTGGAGCGTGGAATTGAGAGACGGCATTTCTGCAAGAAATAGGGGTTCAAATCCCCCTCGCCGCCTTGGCTCGTTCGGGTCATTCTCCCATCCGGATAGAAAGTGGCGCCAGCCATCGCGTGACAATAGCTTAATTATGGCGATTAGGTGCCATCAAGTTGCTCTTACCTACGCAGGTAGGTTTTCTCCTGAACTGCCCCTAACGTGGCCCTTCAGCAATCCCAGCGGTGCCTTCGGTGCTACTGTAACTTGATGCATCCACCTTGATCCTGGCCGTCCTCTTTAACTATAGCCTTCCCTTCCTTTAAAGCGCCTCGCCCAATCCTAATTTTACCCCCACGTTCAGTTTTTAATTGAATCCCATGTAGGTTATCCATTTGGATGAGAATGATTCTAACCTTATCAAGCCAAAACTTCTTAGAAAGAAAATATTTCTTTCGTCTTTTCCTCACCTCCAAGATCCTGGATTTTTTTTCCTTTGCATTCCGAACTTTCTTAATGAAAATGCCTTCGCACCATTTGCAGCTGTTAACAGCACTGAACTCAATTTTGTAGACTTGACAGATTTGGGTGATTATGTTACTGTTGTATTAAATCCCTTTTGATTAAAAAACAACACTCATTGATGCATTGGAAGCCTGTTCCAAAATTCGCCTGTATTTGGGAAGAGCTTCAGATTTCAGACCTTTATATGATATAGGAGATATTCTGTACTAATTTGCAGGAAATTTTGAACCATTTGCCATCCAGAATTATCTATTGATTTTAGGCTTTGTCAAGTTTGTAATTTGGGTTAATCAGCACCAGGACTTTTTACTCTGCAAATCCAAGCAAATAGAGAAGTCTTATATGTTTCTTAACTGCCTTTAGGACACCAAACTTATTAAATTGCCAGTAATTTAATAAATATATCTTTTTCAAACAGAAGTAAAACAAACTTTGACCATCTTTTATTTTAGCAATCCTTAAGTCCAGAGAGAGAATACAGTTCCATCATGTGTGCTGATTGTAAAGATTGGCTAGATCTCTCAAACATGTACCTCTCGAATCAGGAATATTATTTAAAGCTGGAAGAACTTAAGAATGCTCACCTGGAAACCATGGCAAAATTGGAAGAAATGTATCAGAATAAGCTGTTTCTAAAAGATGTTCAACCTTTAACTAACACAGATGTGGTTTATTCTAAGACTTACAGGTAATTTTTACAATAATCTACACTTAAAATTATCTTTTGTCTCAAAATGTATATATTGTATATATTAAATGCATTGATCATTGCAACAAGATATTATTAAATATGTTAAATACATAAGAGGAATATAAAAATGTCTGATGGAAAATAAAACTAAAAAGAATCCTTAGCTCTTGTAGACAATGACCTTAGCCTGAACTATATCCAGGTACAGAAAAAAAAACCCAGAAGAAAGATTGAAATTATTTGTTTCTAGTCTTTTTAAAAATTATTAGTAGATCATTAATTTTTCTGCATTTTCTAAATGTTTTGCTTTTAATAGCTAGTATTTGTTTTAAAGTATCATTATTTGTGAAACATACAGATGTGAAAATTATACCAGCCAGAATTACACTCTTGCAATTTACAGTGAGATGGATCCTTGATTTAGGACAGGGGTGTCAAACTCACGCTGTTATGGTGGTGTCACGTGACTATCACAACTTTTTTCCTTTTCCTAAACGGTATGGGTGTGGCCAGCATGTGATGCATCCGACCTGCGGGGCTTGAGTTTAACAGCCCTGATTTAGGAAATAGATTAAGAGGCAACAATTTCTTTTCCTGCCGTTCTATAATTTTCCAAAAAGCTTGTCCAGCAGGAAATGTACTTCTCAAATCAGGAATATTATTTAATATTCTGGAAGAATTTAAGATTCTCACCTGAAAACCATAGCAAAATTGGGAAATATGTATCAGGATTTCAGAATTCCTAAAAAACATTTAATCTTTAATTAACTCAGTGTGATTTGGTTAGGTAAGCAAGAGTAAAATGAATCACTGAGAGATACTGTATTTTTTGCACTATAAGACGCTCCAGACTATAAGACACACCTAGCTTATGGGGAGGAAAACAAGAAAAAAAAATCTGCCTCCCAGCAATTTGCCTCCTTGCAGCAAACAGCCTGGTCAGCTTCAGCACAATCTGATTTAGCACAAGCAGCTGATTGGCGGTTGGATCAGGCTCCCAGAATACCACTGATCAGCTGTTCCAGGCTGTAGGGCTCGCTGCCGCCCATCCGCCACTGACTGCCGCCGCCTATTGCTGCTTCTGCGTGCCCCATTTTTTGCCTCCGCACATCCCATTTTTGGCCCATTCCAGATGGCGAGGATCGATCCGATCTATCTGGAAAAAGTGCGTCTTATAGTGTGAAAAATTCAGTAATTATTTATCTTTCTCAGGCTTTATAGGTTAGTGAAGGCTTAACAACACTGATTTCTTGACCAGTTCTAAAGAAAAACAGAAGAGGGAATCAGACTGCTTATATTTTCTCCTCCATTTTTGTTTTGAAGTGTGATTAAACATACTATTGGCTGTGACTTTGACTGGTATTAAAACTGAATATATAATATGAAGCCGTAACTAAAAACTGGCTCTTCATCATAGGTATAAAAGTAATTGTAACCCTAATTAAGTATTGTCTTAGCATTGTTTTTGTCATTATACATATTAGCAACATGTATAAAGTGTAAATATTAGGAGAGTATGAGATGTCCAGAAGGATCAGATTAAAGGCTCATCACGTTTATCCCGTATCTTACAGTGGCCAATCAAAATCTATAAAAATATCTAAGAATAGATGTAATGCCTGATTATATGAATGTTTATTAGTTTTCATTTTGGCAGTTCCTGCTCTCTGTTTAAAAGTCCAAAACAATCCAAACATTCCTTAAAAGAATTACTATAACTTTTTTTTATTTTGTTTGTGATTTTCACATTTCCAGATTTACGTTTTATCAGTTGGATTAATGAATTTTATTAGAAGTATAATTGTTAATTATAGCCTGATAGTGGGCATATTTGTCCTCCAAGAAAAATATGGAGAAAGGAGTACATGAATCAGAAACCAGTTTAACATTGTTTTAGAATTGGTATTCTTGTAGTCTAAAGGTTAATATATTCATAAACAAATAATTATTTTATACATTCTCTTTTATTCAGTTTGACAAGAGATTCCACAACTATTACTAAATCAGGTTAATTTGTGCCATTACTAGACAACTAAGCATTACATTTGTGTTATGTTTAGATCAGCATGGGAAACTAAACCACTTCAACTTCAGAACATGCATCGATCATTTTCTGCATCTGATCTGAACAGTTCATTCCATTCATTAAATTTCTCTGATGTAACTGATGAAAAACTAGAGCTAGAAACAAGTGACAGTGATGTTGGATCACTATCACTGGATAAGACTGAAAATGCATGGGATGGCTGTTTTGGGGAGGATTATTCACTCTGCCCTAAAACTATTTTACCCAAATTAAATGTTTTGAAGCTAAGCAAGAAAAAGAAAAAATGGTTCCCAAAGATCACAGTACCAGAACCTTTCCAGATGACTATTAGAGAAGCTAAAAGGAAGCAACAGAACATCAAGTCCAAGTCACTCATGGAGCTGGAAAATAACTTGTTGAAGAAACAATTAGAGGAGGAGGCAGAATGTCAAAAACAATTTCGAGCTAATCCGGTACCTGCACATGTTTTTGTCCCTCTTTATCATGAAATAATGCAGGAAAATGAAGAACGTAGAAAGTCATTTAGAGAAAGTAGAGGAAATTTTCTTCTGGCTACACAAAAGCCATTTCAATTTATTGAAAGAGAAGCGCAAAAGAAAGAACTGAGAAAGATGCAGTTTTCCTCACCAGAAAAAAAAGCAAAAACGTTTAAAGCTAAACCAGTTCCTAAATTTGTTTCCAGTTCAGAAATGAGAGAGAAACTAAAGGAAGAAGAACTCTATAGAGACATTAGAATTCAAGTTAGATCTGAAGAGCTCCTACGTAATTCATCACTTCCCAATAGCAGATTAGGAAATAAAAGCACCATTAGGCCTGTTCAAAACTGCTTTGAACAAAGTGAAGAATCAATATGTAAGCCAAATACCAAAGTTAAAGTCCCTGATTTTGAAACATTACATAAAAAATTCCAGAAGCAGCTTCAAACACATAAGAATGTGAAAAGTATCACAATCAGTGAACCTTTCAAACTCCGTACACCAAATATTTCATCCAATAAAGAGAAAATTCTTGAGGACATAGACATGGATGAAAAAACATTAAAAGAAACACGCTGGCCTTATGTCTCTACAAGATGTCCCCCTCGAACCTTGAATGCAAGTTCATATCCTTCAGGCTGTATACTGTCTCCATCTCCAAGAACTACAGCATCTACTAGAAAACGGCTAGAGGCTGTAAGGTAAGACTTTAATATGCTGGGCATTTAATCCCAAATTCTTTGTGGTAAGTAAAACATGCAGATGTTGAAAATACAAACACCTGTTTTACAAGAGTATGGAAAATGTTTCCATGTCAAGGATGTTCCAACTTCAGAATTGCCATTGTGACTGTTTCCAAGTGTGAAAAAAATCCTATGTGAGAGCTTTTAAAGAAAGAATGCATTATTTTTTCCTAGTGTTTGAGGGTTCCACTTATGCTATTTTTGCTGTTGTTCCTGGAGTTGAAAAGGGCATGTGGCTTTTGTTGTGAAACCACCTTACTGATGCTTCAAACTCCCAGCCTCTCATCCTAGTCTATCAGCTCCTAGTCTATATGTCATCCAGGCTGCAAACATTTTGAATATATCTTTATCTACATGTACATCTACACATACATCTATATCATCTACATCAATATTTGTACTTGTATGTGTATATGTATCTATCTCTATCTCTTTGTCTCTGTATCTATCTCCTGTACATCTTTTATTTCAAGCACGAGTGACCACTTACCAGAATTTAGGCCATAGAAATCCTCTCAACTCTGCTTCTCTTTTGAAAGGAAAATAGTTTTTGTTTAAATCCAAGCAGTGGAAAACAGCAGACTGAGATAAGGAAAAGGACCCTAAAAGCCATTGCAAATCTATAAGAAACGGGGGAAATTCAAGGAAGCAATGTGGATCCAGTTCTTCACACTGTTTGTTTCTAATGAATAGATGGAGGCGGGGAGAGAGAAGATAAAAGGAGGGAGTTTTGGCGGGAAAAGTAGAGGAGCAAGAGGGACAGAAGGCGATAGGGAGGAGAGGCTTCTGTGAAGCAAGCCTGAGGGAGAGAAGAGTTGGAGTGAAAGGGAAGCAAGCAGAGGAACCAACAAAGGAGCAGAAGCTGTGGAAGGAGAACCAGCAGGCAGTGCAAGAGAGTGAGAGAGGAGAGAGAGAGAGAGAGAGAGAGAGAGAGAGAGAGAGAGAGGAAGAAGGGCCGATCAGCCACCTGAATACCATCCCATCATGTGACCTACCTGCTGGGAGAGACTGACCACTACCATCACATGACCTGTAGCCCCCAGACTTAGACATAATGCACTTCTGAACTAATATGATACATAGTCTCACATGCAACTGGCCTTTGAGGCCAACCATAATGCTGATGTGGCTGTCAATGAAATTGAGTTTGACACCTCAGACCAAATTTGATGGGGCTGAAAGATTTGCCAATCACAACAGAATTAATTTGGCAGCAGATTCAGGTTCATGTACCAAATACTACAAGGTCACCTGTGTAGGCTTGGAATAGATGTAGATATAGATATGGTATTCAGCTTTGTTCGGGTATTTTCCCATGTCATTATAGTTGTGCTTTTAAAGTTGTAGCAATGTTTCGGCAGAATCTCATCTGCCATTATCAGGCTTCTGTATTGTGTTCGTCTGTGAGTCAGACTTTTACAGTTGTTTCAGTTTTAAATTTGGGGCTAGCCTACTGCTGTGCCAGAATGGTTTTTTTCTTCATCCTGATTGGTTGGGAGTCTTGGTCTGTGTTTATTGGTCTTGGAGTTTGCTGTGTTCTGCTTGATTGGTGCTTCTAATATCTTCTGTCTGTTTTGTGGCTTTTTTTGTCTTGATTTGCTGGCAACATTGTGTTTCCTGTATTGGAGGCTTTTAGTGCAGATTGGCTCCGAGCAAATGGACGGCTATCATTTATTAGGAAGCTAGGTTTCATCTGGGTGCCTGGTTGGGGTGTGTTTGAGCTGGAGGTATCAGGGGGGATCTGTTTGTGCCCAGGTGTTTGCCTGGCTTGTGATGTGGAGATTTTTTTTGTTTGTGAGTGCAGGCTTCCAAATAATTGACAGTCTGGTGGAATCATCTCTTCTATTCATGCTTTCAGGTCTTTTTTCAATCTCCGTGGCTTCTCCAATAATTCTGTGACTAGGGTTTTCTATAGTGGCTAGGGTTTTGGTGCCATTGAAGTTGATGCTGTGACCTGTGGCTTTCATGTGTTGGACTAGTGAGGAAGTGTGTTCCAGCTTTTTGACTGCATTTTTGTGTTCATCCAGGCGGGTACTTCTTTTTCTATTGGTCTGTCCAATGTATGTGGCAGGGCATGATGCACAGGGGACTTCATATATGCCTTGGTTTTCCAGGTCAATTTTATCTTTGGGGTTTCTTAGGATGGCTGTTATTTTTCTGTCTGTTTTGAAGGCAGTCTTGATGTGATGCCTGTGTAGTATCTTACTGATTTTGTCTGTAGTACCTCTTATGTAGGGCAGAACAGCTGTTCCATAGGTCTGTTCATCTTCTAGGTCTCCATTATGTCTAGAAGATGAACAGACCTATGGAACAGCTGTCCTGCCCTACAAGGCATATATGAACCAAAGCATATATGAAGTCCCCTGTGCATCATGCCCTGCCACATACATTGGACAGACCAATAGAAGAAGTACCCGCCTGGATGAACACAAAAATGCAGTAAAAAATTTGGAACACACTTCCTCACTAGTTCAACACACGAAAGCCACAGGTCATAGCATCAACTTCAATGGCACCAAAACCCTAGCCACTATAGAAAACCTCAGCCACAGAATTATCGGAGAAGCCATAGAGACTGAAAAAAAGACCGGAAAGCATGAATAGAAGAGATGATTCCACCAGACTGTCAGTTATTTGGAAGCCTGCACTCACAAACAAAAAAATCTTCACACCACAAGCCAGGCAAACACCTGGGCACAAACAGATCCCCCCTGATACCTCCAGCTCAAACACACCTCAACCAGGCACCCAGATGAAACCTAGCTTCCTAATAAATGATAGCCGTCCATTTACTCTGAGCCAAGCTGCACTAAAAGCCTCCAATACAAGAACACAATGTTGCCAGCCAATCAAGACAAAAAAAGCCACTATACAGACAGAAGATATTAGAAACACCAATCAAGCAGAACACAGCAAACTCCAAGACCAATAAACACAGTCTCCCAACTAATCAGGATGAAGAAAAAACCATTCTGGCACAGCAGTAGGCTAGCCCCAAATTTAAAACTGAAATAACTGTAAAAGTCTGACTCACAGACGAACACAATACAGAAGCCTGATGATGGCAGATGAGATTCTGTTGAAACGTTGCTACAACTTTAAAAGCACAACTATAATGACGAAGCCTCCGCAGGTGACCTTGTAGTATTGATCCATACAGGTATTTTGAGAAAGAGGGCCACAAAGGTTGTTATGCATTAGCTAGACTTAAGTTTATTTTCTTATTCAGGAAATCGGCTGAGGAAAAAAAGAAGGTCGAAGAAGAGCATAAAAGAAGAGAAGCAAAACAAAGAGAGAGAGCAAGAAAGCTGCAAAGGCTTATAGCTACTCGGGCTGAGGCAAATGATCCACATCAGAGCCTAGCCAAGATGCTTAACTCAAAGTTAAAATTGTTTAGGTATTCTGCAATGTATCCCCTGATTCCTGACCCTTTAGATACATTATCCATAGTTTAGTAATAGTAGGCAGATCCATATAGTCTTGCTCCTTCCATTTTTATTTTGCTAAAAGATTCATATTTAAATTCCATACCAATTCCATGTCATGGTATATTAAAAAAACAGGAAACATGAAAAACAGAGAAAGAAAGAGTATCTGCAGGAACTGGAAGAAATTGAAGAAAGGGTGGAAAAGAGGCCTCTATTGTTGGAACAAGCGACACAGGTTATTGACCTCTCTAATATTTCTATATATCTATTCATTAAATTGCTACCTTTTGGTGATATTTTTCTCCTTGATAGCAGAAGAAGCCATTTGCAGCTGATAGCATGGAATCTGGATATATAATATGTTTGCCAGCTTAAGGCTGTAATTGAGAAATTAAAAATGTCAAGATGTAAAGCTGTCTGAACAATTTATTTAGATTTCAATCAAGTGACCTGCAGATTTGGAATCGTTTATTTTGTAAAATAAAAGACATTTAGAAACACAAGAGATATAAAGAAATAGAGTGATTTCTTTAAACTTGGAGATATCTTTCAGATGTGTTAATTTTGTTTTCTTTTTAAATGTAGAAGAATGCACGGCTAGCAACAACGAAGCATTATTCTGATTTGCTGCGAGAGCTGGGACTGTGTGGAGACTTTATTTCAAAGAAAGGCCAAACTGTTACTGAAGAGTTTTTGCAGGATTCTTCCTACAGTAATAGTTTTGAAAGCTTGGCAGCAAATGTAGAAAGGTAGATATTTTAGCTTGGAAGATTATAATACTATTTTTGAGCTTCCTAATATGTTTTATTCTAAATATGAAATGTTTACCGTGTTTCTCATATAATAAGGCTGGGTCTTATTTTTTTTTGAGCCCCGAAAAAATGGCTAGGCCGTCTTTTTGGGGGTGACTTAATTCCCCCCCTTGCTTCTTTGGGCGGGTGGCGACGGCTTGGATGTTGACCTCGGCACTGGTGGGGTACTTCGTATCGGGGTCAACGCAGGCAGCACCATATCCAGGTGTGCAACAAAAGTACTTCCTAATGGCAAGCCCCCCACCATTCCCCCCCATTTTGCATGTTTTAATATAGGCCTTAATTCTGGGGGAGGGGCTTAATTTCATTTCATGCCTATAAAACATGCTGGGACTTCCTATTGGGGGAGGCCGTATTGTTGGAGAAACAGGGTATATAGTTGGTTGTGGTTAGGAAAAGCTGACCTTTCAGAGGAAGAATGCATAATCTGTCAATAACCGATAAATAACTCTTGAAGAGTTACCTTGTTTTGCTCTCCATGAATTAGTGTACGGCAGGGGGCCCAATCCCCTGGGCACAGCCCAGCACCGGGCTGTGACCCATTTGGAACTGGGCTGTGTGAATGCTTGCAGCTCCTGCTTGCAGCTCCATTTGTGTGAGTGCACAAATCCACCGCTTGTGCAAGTGGAGCTGCACAAAGCCAGAAAGGTTGGAGACCACCAATGTACAGTATTGTTTCTTTCCTTGCTAAACATAGTTAATAGCTGATTGTTCAGGGACATAAAAACACCATGAATGACTGCACATTTCTTATTTAATAAATTTTTTATTAATTTTCAATAAACAAACATACACAAACAAAACACAAAACATAAAAACATAAACATGACTGCACATTTTTTTGTGTATTATATTTACTTATTTATTTGAGTATATGTTTTTACATTTGGAAAAAAGTTTATTGTACTCTTTAAACTGGATAGAATAAAAATTTGGAAAAAGATCAATTTCCCATATATAATTCATTCCAGTTTATAAGCTTGAAGTCAAGTCTATCTTATACAGCCTTTTTTAAATTGTAAAGCAGGATAAAAATGTAATAAATTGTTCACTCCTGTTAAATATTTTACTTTTTTCTACCCCTTATAACATTCAGCAGTTTAAAATTAGATAAATTATTGGTTTGCCCCTGAAACAGTGAAAACTACTTGCTGAGTTTGAAAAGGGGACCTTATTGCTTATACTCCCAGATCCAATGTGTTTCTAAAGCAGTGGTTCCTAAACTTTTTAAGTCCACCGCACCCTTGGTGCTACAAACTCATCCTCGGTGTCCCCCACCCAGGGGTGGGATTCAAATTTCTGTGGGCGTGGCCTAATTGGAGGGCTTGACTTGCTGGTCAAGTGAATGGGTAGGCGTGGCTTGCTGGTCACGTGACTGGGTGGGTGTAGCCAGGTGACTAGCAAACCAAATACAAGTGGTCCTTACTTAATGGCCGGTTGTTTAGCAAGTGTTCTAATTTATGACTGGCCTCCCCAGAGCTATTTGACCTGTTTTGGAGTTTTGACAGCTTTAGATCAGGGGTCTAAATCCCACCCCTGCCTGTGTGTGTGAGAGAGAGGGAGAGAGAGAAAGGTTGGATCAGATCTCTCTTTCTCTCTCTCTCCCATCAACGCCAGAACGCCACCGTCAGTCAAAATTCATATTGGTGGTCTCTGGATTTAAAATTATAAGTTTGGTAGTCCCTGAGGTCCAAAAATTTGGTGACCCCTGATCTAAAGTGGTGAGCCTGAGAGAGGGAAAGAGAAAGAGAAAAGAAAGAGAAGAGGGAAAGAAAGAAAAAGGGACAGACAAAGAAGTGGGGATGGAAGGAAGGGACAGAAAGAAAAAGAAATAAAGAAGGAAAGAGGGAGGGGGAGAAAGATAATGAGATATCTATTCTAGTCCAATCACCTGCTCCAGCAGGGTTAGAAGGGAGTGTGTGTGTGTTCTTGTAATTTACCAGTACATTTTGGTTTTGCCTTCTTCAGAATTGGCACTGTAATACATTGGGGAAAAGTAATTTTTAGGGTGGAGATCTGGTCTAATGGATCCTGTTTAAAGCCTCAACAAAATGTGAGAGCTTCCTGATAGTCTTGACCATGTTTTGTCCCCAAAGCTTTAATAGAAGCCAAAGAGGTTTCAATGTGGAAAAGGGCCTCAGTCTAAGCTAGGCCTCATTCAATCTGATGCATCAGCTCTCTCTCTCTCTCTCTCTCTCTCTCTCTCTCTCTCTCTCTCTCTCTCCCTCTCCCTCTCCCTCTCCCTCTCCCCCTCCCTCCCTCCCCTCCTTCCCTTCGAGACTGGCTTTGCTCTACTTTCCCGATGTGCCTACGGGGCCAATGCTTCGAACATGGATGGATGGATATATAGGTAGATAGATTGAGAGAGAGAGGCAGGCAGGCAGGTAGGTGGTAGGCAGGCAGGCAGGCAGACCTTCTGGATGGATGGATGGATGGATGGATGGGTACGTAGGTAGGTAGATAGATATATCTATATTGGTAGATAGGTAGGCAGGCAGGCAGGCAGGCAGGCAGACCTTTTGGATGAATGTATGGATAGATAGGTAGGTAGGCAGGCAAGCAGGCAGGCAAGCAGGCAGGAAGATAGACATACCTTTTAGATGGATGTATGGATAGGTAGATAGGTAGGTAGGTAGATAGATCTATATGGTAGGTAGGTAGACAGAAAGACAGACAGGCAGGTAGGTAGACAGAATGGCAGGCAGGCCAAGAGACAGGCCTTTTGGATGGATGGATGGATGGATGGACAGATGGACAGACAGATGGACAGAATGCAACAGCGGCGGCACTTTGGGAAAGCAGTGCCAGCAGCTTTTCCCAACGTGCTGCCGCATTGGAGGCGCCAGTTCCGGTGAGGTACAACAGTCAATGGGGTGAGCCTCTAGGGCTGGCACCTCGAACGCACCCCTGCCACCTCTTAGCACCCCACTGCCATCCCACTTGTCTCTTAACGCCCCTCTAAGGCATCCCACCGCCCCCAGGGGGCGGTACTGCCCATTTTGGGAACCACTATTCTAAAGCAATACATTATTATTCAGTGGACCTATTGTTTCCCCCTTTGACACAGTGATAATGAACATGAAGAAAAAAGAGAATCTGAAGGAGAAGATAATTCCCAGTCCCAGTCAGCTCAGCTTAGTGGAGAGGAGGAGGAGGAGAAGGAAGAAGAGAAAGAGGAAGAGAAAGAAGATGAAGATGAAGATACTGCCACTCAATCAGAGCATGCTGATCAAGAAACTCCTGAGCATGAAAGTGAAAATGATGACAAAGATTCAGTAGAAAAATCCAGTGATTATGAGGGCTGATTAAAATATATTGCTACTACTTTGAGTCTTGATGCTCATAATTTATTTATTGGACCTAATACAGGTAATCCTTGATTTACATAACCTACTTACTTGCATAACTAGCGTTTACAATCTCACGTCACATTTGAATTCCTTTCTGATTGTTCTTAGTGTTGTTATATTTTGCTCTTGATCTTTTTCAAATGATGTACATTTTGACTAAAATCAGGATTGCTTTGTGATATTTAAAAAACAAAAACAAATCATGAATTCTGAATGTTTTACAACACTGAATATTCTTCGGTATTGTTCTTGATTGAACTGCACTGAGAAATAATTAATAAACCAAAATAATAGCATTACAAAACTGACCTTCCCTCAAATTACCCATGGCCTCACAGGTATGCTGTTTCAGCTTCCATTTTCCTTATATGGATAATGCCATTTTTCAATATGTAAATGCTACACACCTTTACTCAAAATATAATTTTGGCAACCATAGGCCTGGGAGGATCAAATATTTCGTGATTGATTTTTGAAAATGCGCAGTGTGTTATGCTGGATTTTCCACATAGTTTGTTTCCATAAACAAGAGATTGATTGGTCAAAAGGAAGTATTGTTAACAAATAATACATTGTGAATTAGATTGGAAAAGAACAAGTAGAGTCTAAATATTCATGAACAGTACTTTCTAGCATTGTGCACCTGCCTCAGACTACACAAAGTAATTGTTCCTGTTTCAAGCTGTCTGGCTGGTGTAACAAGGCTTCTCTAGCTGTTGTGGGATCTTTGAGAGAGACACAGCTGCCTTAAATCAGTTGCAGAGAAGCTGTGTTTGTGCTGCCATGAGTTCTGAAGCATCTCTTATGAATCTAATCCAAATTACTGCACAGTTTTATGCTTTGTAGGCTTAACAATAATTTTACTAGAACAGGTGTTCTTCAATTCATCGACCCCTTCAAGTTTGATTATGCATCCATTCCCAAAATTTATTTGTTAAAGTAATTTACTAAATACCATTATAATTGTCAGCATTATGAATAATAATGATCATCAACCTCTTGAACAATACCATCCACCCATCCATCAATATTGAACACTTTGGGGAACCTGAGGGTCTAGTAGCCTTGCGGTTACTGGGTTTGTCAACAAAAACTTTGGCAGTTTGAGACCCACTGATGGGGTGAGCTCCTGTTCCTGTCCCAGCTTCGGCCAACCTAGCAGTTTAAAAGCGTGCAAATGCAAGTAGATAAATAGGTACCACTTTGGTGGGAAGGTAACAGTGTTCTGTGTGCCTTGGTCATACTGGCTACATGTCCACAGAACAAAGATGGTTCCCTCGGGTAGGAAACAGAGATGAGCACTGCCCCCTAGTGTCAGACACAACTGGACAAGGAACTTTTCTTGGACCTGAGGCAAGACAGAGACACAAAGAGGCATAGGATAAGTAGCAAGCTACCCTGAAAGAAGAAGCTTAGAGTTGAAGAGGAAGTAGCTCCAGAGAGGAAAAGAAGCCAGCATTTGTGCTGGGAATAGAGTAAATAGAGTAAAAAACAAACAAACCAGATGAGAAATGTAAGAAATGCAACTGATGGATATGGGAAGTGACAAAGCATTGCAGTCCACCCTAAACCCCCTAAGTTGGGAGGCTGAACTGCTTGCCTTGCCTTGTGTGATGTTGATTTCTGTACATTCTCTATTCTAAATTGTGTTCTGCAGCTTCCTGAAGATTCAGATGTAAAATTGTAATACAACTTTGACGGTAACCAAATTGTGTCATTTAATTGCATTATAAATTCCTATTGTAGTGCAGTATATTACAATCTATGCTCATTAACTGCAACACATATAATAGCTGTAGGATGCCCGTGGCAGCAAATTCTTAGATTGATAAAATTATTTGAATTATGTAAGGATTTCACTGACCATTGTAAAATCTTTCAGGTATGATTTTGGTCTTGCCACTGACAAGTATGAGAACTTGATTTGTCTTTATTTCCATTTTAAAAAGGTATAATCTCCATTTTAAATAAACTGAACAATTTCTTCATGTGCCACCTTTAAAGTCAATGGAGTTTTGCCAAGGACTTCAGCAGGGCCAAATCTCTAGTATTAAAAATATTTATTTAGCATACATATATAATGTAATGTACATAATTTGTTATAGATGCTTCAGTTTCTAGATAGTTTAAACCACAAACCACAAATAAAATATCAATCATGTGACCATAGACACTGCAAAGTTATTTTTTCAGTATTTTTGCAACTTCAAACTATCATTAAACAGGACAGTCATTAAGCATTAAGAAAGGTTTACCTGCATTGCAGATTTTACTCGTCCTTCTGAAAAAACATAATAAAAATGCTTAAGTTTGAGCTTCCGTAAATGTTATTTGGGGTTTGTGTATCGGATGCTATGGTACCTAAAAATATAGACTGGTTCATGGGTTGATTCTCAAAAGGTTTCAGGGAGCTGCTGCTTTGGGCCTTCCTTCCTTTCCAAAACTATAAGGCTGAAATTGTAAGCAGGGTTGCTTGAAATTTGGCTCAGCAGGCATACTGCTAAATTAATTATGTATTAAATTTAAATGTATTAAATTTATTAAATTAACACTGCAAATAAGGTAGGTGTTCAGGTGTAGTGAAGGAGACGTATATAAAACCCTTTCAATATATAACATCTTGAGAATAGGACTGGGGAAAAATGGTTGTTACCTTAATGTCTAATCCTAGGTTTAAGATGGGAAGGCAAGAAACTGAAAGACTGCTTGTATTTGCTTACTCTACTTGGAGAGAGAGTAGCAAGGTGACCAGCATGACCTGGGATTCTTTTGAGCTTGGGGAGGCTGAGTTGGATGCCTAAATGCTGCAACTTGCCAGCTTCAGCTATGTTCTGTTTGCATGCCTAGCAGGGTGGGATGCTACCCTTTCTGCCCGGCTCTATAGAACCGGTAGCTCTGAAGAGCAGCAGACACAGAACTGGTTCTGTGTTTGCTGCTGTTTGGCCCATCCACCCACCTGGGCTCTTACCTGTCCTTTATTTCCTGCTTTTTCAACCTCAGCTGCTTTGCGCGGCACAGCTGAGGTTGAAAAAGCAGGAAAAAAGTGGCTTTTCAAATGCTGCGCCCCTGCATGCAGCGCTTTTCAGCTGTTCGGGCGGTACAGCTTAAGGTTTTTTACACGCGCGCTCAAAATGTAGTCACCGAACTGGTAGTAACACTGGTTGAATCCCACCCCTGATGCCTAGCTTCCTAATGTAGCTTCCTACTGTACATAATCCAAATCTTTGGACTCCTTCTTGAGTTTTGTTCCCCAAACAATTTACATATCCTCTTTGTCCCCTCTAAATTGCAGAAAGAATACATACAGAACCTCCTTTTGCTCTTTAATGAGCAGAATCTGTGCTTCTTTGAACATCATGTTCCATTAAGATTTTTTTCCAGGTAGATATTTTCCATTTCCTTTATTGGGGCCTGAGTAGCAAAAACATTCCTATCAGTACAGCTATTGGATATGTGAATGATTTCAGAAGACAGTTATTTTTCTGTCATGTTTATCAAAGTGCCTAAAGCACAACATTGTCTAAAAGCTCACTTGATATTCAGAACACCTGATTTCTAATCGATTATAACAAGAAAGGACAATTTAAATCCCCCACCATTGTTGTCCTACCTACAGCTCCACTCCCTCCTTTTCCAATATACACGGTGCAAAATGAACAAAGTGCACCCCCATATTCACTACTTTTTAATAACGGCTATAAAGTACAATATTACACCAATAAAAAAATAATTCCTGAGATTGTGAAATAAGGATTGAGGAGAAAATAAATAAACTCTTGAGTTGAATTCAAGACAAATTTAAACCTGACTTTTAAAAAAGTGTGCAACCCTCTGGTGCATGGATGTCAAACTTAATTATGTCACGTGACATCGTGACATTTTTTGCCTTTGCGGAGCCGGGGTAGATGTGGCCTGAGCATGACACATGGGACCTGTGGCCCACCAGTTTAACACCTCTGGATTATTTCATCTCAAATAGATTTCTTGTCACAAATCTTTAAATTTGAGCTTATAGGTTAACAATCTTCCTTTGCAGGGCCCTTATAATTTTTTTATTTTTTTGCCATATTCACTTCAAATCTGTCTTTTGTCATCTAAAAAGTACTTCTTTTTAGTTGTCAGCAGAAAGGGAGTGGGGAAAGCAGTGCATTCCTTAAAGCTGGGGTCCCCAACCACCGGGCCCCGGACCGGTACCGGTCCGTGGATCATTTTGTACCGGGCTGCCTATTTTGCTTGGGTGCTGCCATCTAGTTTCGACGGCGCTTGAGAAAGTGCTTCCGAGTGAGCTTGTCGGTTATTGGTTGGAAAGCAGCATTTGGATGCTGAAGGAATCCTCGAAATCCTTTGTTTTATCGAAGGGGGGGTGGCTTCGAACGAAGAGCTGTCCCGATGGTGGTGGAGTCTCGCGTTACTCAGGAGGAGATTAAGAAAGAGCCCGAAAAGCCCATCAACCGTGAGAAGGTACAAAGGAGGAGTTGAAGGTGGCAGGGAGAAGCGGGGGACGGCTGGCTGGCCGGTTGCTTGGCTCGGCTTGCCTTGGTCGTGCGTGCTGATGCCGGTACCGGTCCGTGGATCATTTTTTACATTTTGTATTGGGCCATGGTACAAAAAAGGTTGGGGGCCACTGCCTTAAAGGCTTCAGATAATCACTTTGGCAACCGAAGTTTCTGGCGGCAAAGTTATTACTGGAGAACATGATTGATGACTCTTGGCTATGGAAGTGTCTCATTGGTGAATATATGTCCAGGAGGTGGGGGGAAGACCAGGGTCAAAGGGGAAATGAATGATGTGTCAGAGTCGGCTGCAACCTGGATACGCCGACATGTCAACTCCTAATAAATCAATCTTTGAGAGATGCGGCTAGGGACTTATGATTTGAATGGGGCTGCATGTCAGAGCCCTGACATCTTTCCTTTGTTCTGCCTGGTGATTGGAGATGTCAGCTCACAGTCTGTCTAATTCTGCATTTACAGGAACCACATCTATCAAACTGAGGCCTAGTTTAATTCCTCTGCAGCTGTAAAATATTCACAGCAATCTGACCTTTTCCACAAAAATTAATGAAAGCATGGATGTAGTCACTAGGGGGTCTCACTCTCTCTTTCCCTCTCCCCATCTCCGCTAACTAGGGCAGTGTTTCTCAACCTTGACTTCTGGAAGATGTGTGAATTTCAACTCTCAGAATTCTCTCACCAGCATGAATTTTGGCAGTTGACGTCTGCACATCTTCAGGCGGCCGAGGTTGAGAATCACTGATCTAGTGATGCTAAATTTGGCCCTAATTATGAGATGGTTTTTGTTTATAAGAAAAAGAAAGATTATGTGGCAATGCTTGGTTTTCTGCCCTAGAAATGTCTTATTGGGCAGAACAGAGTTTGCCTTTATGGGTTCTATATTATTGATCATCTTAGACCAAGCCAAGTCCCAAAACAGGAGACAATTCCTGGAAGCCCAGCATTCTGACAAACTGGCCCTCGAGATACATGTACATATTTTGCAAAAGAGACAGTCAACAAGACATAAAAGGAACAAAACAACTAAAACATCTCCCCACCAGAACCAACACTTAGAATGAGCATAGACTAACACTAAGATTAACATCCTACCAACAATCAAGAAATAAACAATAGCCCAATCAAGGAAGTACCAAACAAGCTCATGTAAATAGCCCAACCAAAAAATCTCCAAGCCTCCAACAGTAGCAGGGCAAGCCACTGGAAAATAAATTGAGAGCAAGCCCCTCCCCCTCCTCAGCATTGATGATATTACCCAGTTCAGGATATTAAACATCTGCAAGAAAGAAACCAGGCTCAGAAAGCAACAGTGACCCCTCATTTCTCATTATTGTCCTTTCTGCTCAAGCATGTTTCTGATGTGACTTTCAGCAGCAGTGTGCATGTTCATAAAGAAATAGGATTGGCAATGTACTTACTTCTGCCAGCAAAAACAGGCTCCCAAGCTCCATTTTTGCTGACAGAGGGTTGCAGGAAGCCATCCCAGGCGAAAACAAAGTTCAGGAGCCCATTTTCACTGGCAGAGGGCTCGGGCCACCATAGGCACCCCCCAACATGAGTGATGTCATGCTGGCCATGCCCACTCTAGTTCCCCAAGGTCAAACACAACCCTGATGTGACCCTCAATGAAATTGAGTTTGACACCCCTGCGCTACACACCAAGAGTTTTCCTTGCAGTTTGGGGAAACTGAGGAAAAATCCATTCGACTGACAGCTATATTGTAAGTGAATGGACGCTTACTTTCGGAAAGCTTTAAAAGTCAAATCAAAGAGCACCGCTGAAATTCATATTTAAAGTCCAAGATGAGATCTAGTGAATCAAATGGGAAAACTTTGAGCAATGTTGCTAAATTAAGACTTCATGGTGGAGTGTTTCATGGTTAACTTACATTTTTGCTACTATCTATACTTCTGCTACATCAGCAAAATCTTCCCTGTTTGAGAAGAGAAAAATGAGAGTAGTTGGAGTCGAAGGATATTCTCAGGATTTCCCAGGTATACTTACTCAAAAATGTTTAACCAAATACAATGTAGACAAAGATGAGATGCCATATTTATTGAATGAACCTGAAATAATCATATCAAGCAGCACTTTTTTCAGGAGATTTACATAGGAGTCATGCAAAAAAAGTGAAGACAAAATTTCGATTTCAATTTTTCCATAAATTTCTGAGGTTTTCAAATTCTTCAGAATTATATACCAGGGATGCGGAAGAGCCAAGGATGGCAAATAATTACAGTAGGTTATAAAATTAGCCATGAAATAAAATAGAATGCACTTTCTCATGGCATTAGAAATAGAATTTAGATGGTTTGTCTTGCTTGATTTGTTTGGTTGAATTGTTCCAAAGGCCAATGTAATGAAAAATCTTGCTAATATTCTGCCTGCTAAATTTTGCCGAGAAGTTATTCATCAGCCTAAATTATTGTCTCTTTCAACTTGTCTAACTTTAATTAGATGAAAATGCTGTTTGATATATAATTTAATGTGTTAGTTTTTTTCATTGAAATTCTCCAAAAAAATTTCAAAATAGGAAGATTTAGTTTCTCTTCAAATATAGTCCTCAAATACAGGATTGTACTAACGTGACTCTATTCTAACCTTTTAAATCTATTTCAGTGAATTCAAAGTACTCCTTTTGGGGACTCCCTCCAGTTATTTCTTAATCCAACCAGGGACAACCAAGACGGATTGGATTGCTATGACTAATAGATGTAGCCATGTGGCATCTTCATTTAACAACAGTGGCAATTCATCCAAAATTGACACCATTTGAAATTGTAAGATAATGACTACCTTTATTATGAAAATTAAAATTAGGGTCCTGAAGAAATTGCTTTTGGCATCCCCTTCTTGTCTGGAGGTCAAAGTAAGGAAAAGGCTTCCAGGAATTTGAATGTCATGCAGATGGCTGTACTTTGCAAGTTTCTAACCTTAGTACCTGGGAGGTTAAGAAAGAAAACCTCAAGAACACCCAGGTGGAAGAAATCAAGCATCCTTTGGGCAATATCCATTCTAGCCAAGTTAATAGGTTCCATCTGGCCAATGTCCAACCACCTCCTCACGAAAGGTGCAAGACTACAGGAACTGTACTAGGTTTTGGAGTTCCTGAACATTTGGTGGAAAATGTCCAGGACTCATGGTTGCCAGCTAAGTAACCAAGGCCAGCAGCCTTGGCAAAATAACTCAAATTGTAAAGACAAACCAGGGGGAGTGTCCTAAAATAAATGAAAAATGGCAAAGCTTTGGGAAATGATTGTGTTACAGATGAAACCAGTTTACACAAGATATTAGCAAAACTATACTGGAGATGCCTCAGAGAAGAAAAAATACCTGATGCATGGGAAAATGCTGAAGTGATTCTTATACACAAGAAAGAAGCCCAAGATGATTTAAAGAACTATCACCCAATAAGCCTTCTTTCAGTCATCTGCACAGCCAAAGGAGAATGCAGGGTTACTGCACAATGGCTCACATTCACCTTGTTCATCAAGTCATTGAAAAGCACAATGAGTACACCATTTTTCTTTGCATGGCTTTAACTGACTATGAAAAGGCATTTGACTCAGTATTCCAACAAGCAATAATTACTGCATCGCTCGGGGTATTGCACAGCCAGGCAATTTTGTACTTACATTTTTCCCAATATTGAAAAACAAAACTCTGAATAGCATTCATTCAGCCAATCTGCTTGTTTTGCTTTTCCTTCATGCTTCATAAGTCTTTTTAAATTTCTCACAGCGTCTGGGTGGAATAGCAGCTGCAAAAAAGAGTTTTAATCCTAGGGAAAACTAGTGATTATAGTCAGAGCTACAGGAGTGCTGCTTACCATGTATGCCTGAAAGAAATTCCATTAAACCCAAGTGGATCTATATAGAGAACGTGTTGATTTTAAATCTGATTGGATTCCTTTTCTAACAAAATCTTGTGTGAAAAGCGTAAAGAAAGGCCTACTCCTGCTTATATGTAAGCTATGGTATGTGCAAAGACAACTCAGCAGACCCACTTATAAATGCATCTCAGCTGAGAAAATATATTGCTTTCTATTGCTTTTCAAGATGCGTATTTGTTCAGATGCAGGAATATAGCTCTGTCTTCCAAATTTTAAACAGGGCCCCTTTAACCATGATGCATACAAACCACCAACTGATGGGTGACTACGGAAATTGAATGATTGATCATTGAATGAATGAATGAATGAATAAACTGGGCCCAAGAAATGTATTCAGGTGTTAAGTCATTTTGCATATTTGTAAAATGGGGAGGGGCATGTGACCTACTTAACAAATGCCATGACTTACCACTATAGGTCTGGGGTCAGTTAAAGTCATACATCGAAGACTACTTGTATTATAATAAATGTCAACATAATACAGAGCAAAAGTTTTATAGTCTTATTTCCTGCACATGTTACACAAAATATTTCCTCTCCATATATTAAGCATGAAGTAAAATATATTTTAAAATAAAATATTTCATTCTTATTGAAGAAATACATTCAAACAACTATTTTTTGAAAGAGCAGGAAAGGTAACCTAGTGCTGAATTCACTTTTATTCATTGTGCTGCAAAAGAGGCTACTTACAGGCATGAAACTACAACACATAGACTCATGAACCCTACATAAGAAGACAAACCTTCACCACTTTTATAAAATCTAATTTAAGCCTGACTTAAATCAATCTCTCTCTCCTTCTCCCTCTCTCTCAATCCCTCCCTCCTACTCTCTCTCTATCCCTCTCTCTTTCTCTTTCTCTATCCCTCCCTTCCTGTATGTGTGTGTGTGTGTAACTGACACAAACCCAGGATCTACTTTAAGAGGGATAAGGCTAATATTTTCATTTATTGTTCACTTTTGTACCATTGAAAATACCTGAGAGAGGAAGCAAGTTCTCAGGATGAGAAACTAGGATTCCATTCTCTTTTGTCTTAAACTTAAGAGGAATGCCTGTTGACGTAGCAATTTACATCTTGGGAAATCCATGAAACTGAAGTTCAGAAATAAAATTCTTCATGTTTATGAGCCCTCATCATGATTCACTGTAAAAGTTAAAATTAAGACACATGCAATATTAGAGTAGGAACATATACTGAGGAAACATTTAGCCATGGTAATGCAACAATCTGCAATTCATAGATACATACTAGTTGCATTCAGGTTAGCAATGTTATAAAAGTACAGAACAGGGTAAGAGTGTAAGGAAAAGGCAGAAGATTAAAAATAAATGAAAACTCTCTGCTTCTGTGATGATGATGGTGATTTGATATCTACAGTTCTCTTTCATCTGAACTTCGCCAAGCAACTGATCCAGTGACTACCTGCAGACATTAAGGTAGTTCTTCCTCCCCCTGTCACCACCTACCCTGTACTCCCAACTCATGTGGGGCCAGCTAGGCCATCCTATCTGTGCCTGCCCAGCAGGTCCTGAGTTCTTTGGCCACCTGCTCCCTCCCTCCCTGACAGCCAATGCTTGGGAGCCATGGTTGTTGATGAACCTTCTCTTGCTCTGGTCTTGATGCTTGGCCAGCCTCTTCCTCCAGCAGTGGCTAGGGAGAAAAAGAGCTCCAGATCTTCCAGCATAGGTCTTTTGCTCAGGCCAGGGAAAGGAGAAAGAATGACTTCCAACTTTGATACAGATATAAGTAAAAAATATTGTATATTAAACTCTTACTCTTAAGATTAACATTTGTCTACATTACTTCCAGAATCCCATATTCAATCATTAAAGCCCCAGATCAACTTTTAATTTCAGTTTCTTCACAAAAAGTCCGATAATGGTTCATATCACTTCAATCACTATTTGTTAAGGCAACCACAACTGATTTATTGAATTTCACCAAACTCTAAATAAAACAGGAATGGAAAATCCTAAACTCTAGTCTAGATCCATGCTTCTTAAGTTGACAACTTTAAGGTGCATGGACTTCAATTCCCAGAATTCCCCAGGCAGCATGAAGTTCACCCATTTAAACTTGTTAAGACTGAGAAACACTGATCTACAGATAGGGATATTTCCATTCCTCTTTTACTGTTTCTTACTTAAAGTTTGTGATTCTCTCCCTTCTGCTGGCCAAAATGAAGTGCAGGTCCCCCATAGCCTATTTTGGGCCTGGAAGGCCTCCTGAAAAATCCTCACTCCCACAGCACCCAAGAGCAATCAAAATGCAAAATCATAAACCCCATCTCATCTCAGAGCAACCACAATTCCCTCACTAACCTGCTTTCCACATTCTCCTGCATACTGGGCAACAAAAGAAGACCATGGGACTACCAATTAAAAAAAAAGCACAATCAAGCAGCAATATGTTGTCTTTATTGTGTAGCACTTAGCCCCAAAGGAGCCGTTGATGATCAGGTCCTCCTGTCTCTCTTCTCAGATGAGCAGGTCGCCTGACCCAAGCATATTGATACACCTTTTGAGACATGTGGAACTTTAAGAAAATAGCCCTTAGGATAAAATAAGATTAAACAGTAGAGCTACAAGTAGCAGCAATAAACACCAATGCAGTAAGTACACAGTCAATAACACAACAAAACGTGGGCAATATAGATTTAAGAAACTGCTCTGTATGTTGGGTAACTTGCGGCCCACGGGCCGGATGCATCATACACTGGCCACTCCCACCCCTGGTGTAGCGAAGGGGGAAAAAGTCCTGATATGTCACATGACAACAATGTGATGCTGCAAGTTTGACACCCCTGTTCTAGGTGATCTGAGCTCTTCTGGGCAAGGGGGGACCTAGGGATTCAATTGCAAGGCCATGCAGAGGAATTTTCAGAGCAAAATTCATTCAAACCATATCATTCATTCCCAGTTAGACTCAAGCCTTGGTGCAGGTCCAGTGGAGATGCCTGTGGTATAGTATTGCTCTCTTATCTGTAAACAGTTTGAACCAGTTGGGCCTGAGGAACTGGACAGGGTCCTCACGATTGTGAGCTTAGCCACCTGCTGATTAGATTTATACCCCTCCTGGTTTTTGTCCAGAATCCAATCTCCTTGTTTTAGGAATGGTTGTGGAAAAAGTGGTTGTGCAGCAGCCAGTGAACCCTGGATGGAGTAGGTTATTCAGATCCCTTTCAGTCAGGATTCAGACTTGGGTAAGTGATAGAAATGTTATTGGTTGTGCTTTCAGATGATTTCTGGTTCGAGTAGGATGGGGATAGTGTATCCATCTTGGCGCTATGCAATTTCTTGAAGCTTTCAACACCATCAACTGTGGTATATTTCTGGAATGGCTATGTGGATTGGGAGTGGGTGGCACTGTGTTATCTTTTTAATTTTTTTTATTGGTTTTCAAAATGAACATAGACAAACAAAACATAAAAACATCAAGCCATCTTCCATATATATACATACAGTATGCTGGTTGGTTTACAAATTGTTTTGTGCTTCTATTTCGTAGTCTTCAATTACAATTACATTGTATATATTCTCATATTTTCAATCAAGTATTAAATACATTAATATTGTTAATCAATCATTTGACTATGCTTTTATTCATTCATGATTTACGAAATAATCATATTTTACTTAATTTGTTTTATGACAGTTCATATTATCATCTCAAATCTATCCTACAATAATTTGGTAGATATAATAAGAAAAGAATACATCTTTATATATTTATTATTTTCTAAGAATCTACAAATTTGATTACCTTGTTTTATTGTCTAACCATTGATAGAATAGATTCCAAATTTTATAAAATTGTTTATCATCTTGTTCTCTGATTTCAAATGTCAATCTACTCATTTCAGCACATTCCAATATTTTCTTAATGATTTCCTCCTGTGATGGTGCTTTCTCATTTTTCCAGTTTTTAGCAAATACAGTCCTAGCCGCTGTTAATGCATTTACAATCAGGTATTTCAATTCTTTACTATATATTTCAGGTAAAATTCCCAATAAAAATATCTCTGGTTTCAAATCTATATGCTTTTTTCTCATTTTTTCCAACCACGTGTGGATTTTAGTCCAATATTTTTAGCATCCACACAAGTCCATCACATATGGTAATATGAGCCAGGTGTCTGATGACATTTCCAACATTTTTCAGATTTGTTCTTGAACATTCTTGCTATTCTTGTCAGGGGAGAATGCCACCTGTAAAACATCTTATACAAATTTTCTTTATATGCTGTTGACATTGTCATTTTATAATTTTGAGACCACAATTTTTGCCATTTCTCTAGATCAATCTCATATCCAAAATTCTTCCCCCAAGCAATCATTGTTTCTTTAACTTGTTCTTCTAGTTTAATTTCTAAGAAATATCCATACAATTTTTTAATCACCTTTTCATCAGTACCTGTCAAAATCTTATCTAAGTCAGTCAGTTTATCATAGAAACCTTCTGTTTTAGAATCTTTATCAAACCTTGAATGTATTTGCGCATATGAAAACCAATTCATCTTTACACCTTGTTCCTCTAATTTTTGTATAGATTTAAGTTCACCCTTTTCATTCAATATTTCACCATATCTAACTGTTTGTTCCTTTTTATATATTATAGGATAAGAAAATGCTTCAATAATCGATAGCCAGACTGAAATTTTCAAATAACATTGTCTTTTAGTCTTCTCCCAGTTTAACCACAGAGACTCCCGTATGTAATGTCTTCTAAAATACCCCTGTATTTTAGTTCCTTTATACCATAGAAAAGCATGCCACCCCAACAACAGATCATGTTCTTCTAATGTCAACAATCTAGTCTTCCTTAATGTTATCCATTCTTTAACCCACATCAAATTTGCAGCTTGATAGTACAACTCCCAATTAGGCAAACCAAATCCTCTTCTTATTCTGGCATCTTGCAAAAGTTTTAACTTTATTCTCGCTTTCTTACCTTGCCATATGTATTTCAACACAATTTTATTTAAATCTTCAAAGTAATCTTTTCCAAGCCTAATTGGAATTATTTGGAACAAGTATAAAATTCTGGGTAATATATTCATCTTGATTGTTGATATTCTCCCTATTAATGACAGTTGTAAATTCTCCCATTTCACCAAATCTAGTGCTATCTGCTGCTTAAGTTTGATATAATTATTCTCTTTTAGTGTACTGCATCCTGCTGTCAAATATATCCCCAAGTACTTGATCTTATTCGTGACCTGAATTTTCAATAGATCTGCCAGTTCTTCCTTTTGTCGTGATAGCATATTCTTTGTCAAGATCTTTGTCTTATCTTTATTTTCAAACCAGCCACCTTTCCATATGCCTCTATCTTTTCTATCAATTTTGATGCTGTTTCTAGTGGGTCTTCTAAAATGAAAACCAGATCATCTGCAAATGCTTGCAACTTAAATTCTTCCTTTTTAATTTTCATCCCTTTTATATCCTTTTCTTCTCTAATATTTCTGTTTAGCGCTTCCAAGGTTAACACAAACAACAGAGGTGATAGTGGGCACCCTTGTCTTGTTCCTTTTCTTATATCAATAGAGTCTGTCAGTTCTCCCTCTATCATTACCTTTGCCATTTGCTTATGATATATAGCTTCTATTGCTTGAATAATTTTTTTAGGAAAGCCCATCTGTTCCAGCTGTAATAACATGAATCGCCAATTCACATTATCAAATGCCTTCTGTGTATCTAGAAATATTAAAGCCATTTGTTTTTCAGGGTGTGCCTCGTAGTATTCCAAAGTGTCCAAGATTACTCTCATATTGTCTTTAAGTTGTCTCTTTGACAGAAATCCATTTTGATCAGGATGGATAAAAGTGTTTAGGTATTTTTTAAGTCTTTCTGCCAATACTGAAGCAAAAATTTTATAGTCTTTGTTTAGTAAGGAAATAGGTCTATAGTTCTTGATTTGTAATAGATTGGCCTCCTCTTTTGGGACAAGTGTAATACTGTGTTTCTCATATAATAAGGTCGGGTCTTATTATTTTTTGAGCCCTGAAAAAATGGCTAGGTCGTCTTTTCAGGGGTGACTTAATTCCCCCCCTTGCATCTTCAGGCGGGTGGGCGGCGACAGCTTGGATGTTGACCTCGGCGTTGGTGGGGCACTTTGTATCGGGGTCAACGCAGGCAGCACCATATCCACTGTGTGAAGTCTTTTTCCTTTAAAATAGTATTATTTAACATCCATCTAGATCTTCTTCTTTGTCCTTTCCATTTAATTGTCATTGGATTGTGATCTGCCCAAGTATTTGTTTCAATATTTATTTCTTGAATATTAGCTAACAATTCTGTTGACATCCATATCATATCTATTCTGGACCATGATAAATGTCTATTTGAGTAGAAGGTGTATTGTTTAGTTTTAGCATTTCTTTCTCTCCATGTATCTTTTAAGTTTATTTCATCTATCATTTAAAAAAAAGATTTAGGGAGAGTCTTTCTCTTTTGCTTTGTTGTTTTCTGTGCTGTATAGTCCAGCTTATTATCTACAATTCCATTAAAATTTCCCATCATAACTATATTAGCATAGTCCAGTTCAATTATTTTCATATGTAATTTTTTATAAAATTCTCCTTGATTGTCATTCGGGGCATAGATTGCAATCAGGAGTGTTTTCATATTATTGTCCATTATTTCCACCATTAGTACTATTCCATCGTCGTCAGTATAGATCAATTTCGCTGGGATAATATCTTTAATGTATAAAACCACTCCTCTTTTCTTGCATTGTGTCAAAGAAATAAATATTTTCCCTAATTTTGGCTGTATCAACAATTGTTCATGTTGCTTCTTGATATGTACTTCTTGTAGGCAGATTATATCAAATTTTAATTTCTCTAATTTATGAAAGGTTTTCCTTCTTTTTACAGCTGAGTTAAATCCATTTATATTCATTGTAATCAGTTTTGTCTCTTTCATGGTTATATTTTGTAGTTAGGTTTAGCAGCTCTTGTAGATCTTGGTTCACATTGTTCTTTGGCTTCCACCTTTCCACCTACTGTACCTTCTTCTTTTTCAGTCGCCATTTGACAGTCCTCTTGGAATTTCTTTTTCTGCCTTTTCCTCTTTCCCTCCAAAAAATTCTATGTAAAGTGATTCAGCTTTCTCAATTGAGTCAATTCTATGCCTCTGTTCTTGCCATGTGAACATTAAACCTTCTGGAATCAGCCATTTATAATTCACCTCTTTTTTAAAGTAGCATTTTGGTCAGAAATCGGTATTCTCTTCTCAACTCTCTCACTCTTCTGGGTACTTGTTTCAGGGCCACAATCTCCTTGTCTTTATATTTCAATGGTTTCTTTCTTGCCACTTGCAATATTTGCGTTTTAATGGATTTCTTTGTAAATATGATGTGAACTTCTCTTGGTAGGCTATTTCTCATTGTATATCTTCTGAAGACTCAATAAACCTCATCTATTCCATCCATCATCTTCTCTTTAGTAATTTCCAAAGCTTCAGCCAAAATTTCTATCATTATCTCAGCTAAGTTTTGTCCCTTTTCTTCCTCTATGTTTTGGTATCTGAGATAAAATTCTGATCTGTCCATCTCCCATCTCAGCATCCTACTTTTATCTTGTTCAACCACAGTTAATCTGCTATCAATATCTCCAATCTTCTTATCTCTTTGTTTCTCTTCTTCAATTTTTTGGAATCTCTCATCATACTTCATCATTTGTTGAATGTTCTCCACCTTTTCATCAGTTTTCCCTGTTCTTTGTTCAATGTTCTCTGTTCTCTTTTCAATATTCTCTGTTCTTATTTGAATACTTTGAATTCCTTGCATAATCATCTGCAGGGTCACTTTTTCTTGTTCTTTTTCTTGCCTTAACATTGTCTGTATTGAACGTTGTCCTCCAGATGGTGAAGAGGAAGAAGTAGAAGTTGAGGAACCAGGGGCTGTTAGTTTCCTACTCATTTTGGACAATTCAAAATCTTCAGTTTCTTCTAGACCTTAATCCACTTGTGAAATAGCCAATTTCAATTCCAATAGTAGGAAAAAAGAAACCAAATAGTAGTAGTAGTAGTAGTAGTAGTAGTAGTAGTAGTAATAATAATAATAATAATAATAATAATAATAATAATAATATTGCTTCAGGTTCTTGCATACCTTAATCCAATTGATTGGCTAGATAGCAGTAAAAACTCAAAAATGGAAGAAAAGACCATAAACACACACAAAAAATAAAAAATTGTTAAATCTTGAAAAAGACAGAAGAGTAGAAAGTAAAAAAGTAAAAAAGAGAAAAGGAAAGTTCTTCAGGTTCTTCAACACCTTAATCCAATTAAGCAGTCTCAGGTATAAAAGGATGCATAAGAAAAAAAGAAAGCCACAAAAAAAAAACCCAACATGGAGGGTAAAAAACAAATACAAGGGAGGGAGAGAGAAAAAAGAAAAGAGACTACTCCCTTAAAAAGAAAAGGAAGGAAAGAAAGAATTTGTAAAAGTTTTGACAGAAGTGATTAAGTGGCGATTTTAAACAGGAATGTCAAAGTAATATTTTTCTTTTTTTTCCTGCACTGTGTTATTTTTAAGGAGCAAATACTGGTTGGTATTGATTGGGAATGAGAGTCCCTTTACTATGTTGACTGCCATAGGGTTTGGGACTTTCACCATTCCTGTTTAACATCTACATAAAGCTGTGGGGAAATATGTCTGTCAACATAAGGTGAGGTATATCTATATCTATATAAATATATAAAATATCGAATTATATATCTCCACCCCTGCAAACTAAGAGATGCTATTGATATCCCGTGCCAATGCCTAGAGGGGGTGTCTGAATGGGAAACAACAGGTTTCAACTCAGCTTTGGAAAGACTGAATGGTTTGGGGTTTTAGGCCTTCTATATTTGGGACTTTACCATCTTTGCTAATGGAGGGGTAGCACTGCCCCTGGTGGTGGGGTGGGGGAAGAGATCCTTCTGCGACTCCAAAATCCTGCTTGAAGAGTAGGTTGCAGTCATGGATAGGAGGACAGCTTTGGGTTGTGTGCCAGTTTGCCCATTCCAGGGTGGTGTTCATAGAAACTCATATCCTTGTCACCTTTTGAATGGTGACCAAATAGACTATTCTAATGCACTCCATGAATTGCTCTTTGGAATATCATTCCCCCTGAGGTGATAAAAGCACCAATCCTACTGGCATTTATGAAATTCCTCTTCCGCGGCCTTGGAGAGCTCAAAGAAATGGAGATTCTGTGAGATAGTATAAGATGCTGATCCATTCTCTCATGCTGTTATTTTAATTTATATTTAACTGTTTTAAGCTATTGAGTCACATTTGTGAACTAAGCAGTTATACAAACGTGAGAATATATTCTCCCCATTCTCTTTCTGTGTGTGCATACTCACACAAACACACACACATACAGTATATAATTTTTTTTCCACAGGAGACCTCTTCACTCTCTTAGTAATTTTGGCTGCCACTTTTCTGTATCTTTTAGGCTCTGTAATATCCCCGTTAAGTAAAAATTATATCTAGTACTTCAAGAATGTCCTCACCATGGGTTTGTGTAAAAGCAATCTCATACTGGCAGTTTTGTTTTCAGTGAAGAAAGAGTTCAGTCATAAATGGCTAAATAAAGTCAGACTGGGTTAGCCGTTGGAAGGGAGGCCATCAACAACTTCTAGGGCTATGCTGAGCAAGACTGGGAAGTTAAAAACATATAGAAGGTGGCAATATAAGGCCATTTCCATATGTTTCCAAGCAAATCATATGGGGATACCTCCACTGTCACTAGGTGTTGAGTCTGACAATAGGATGTTTTTACTCTTCATGTTTGTTTCTAAATAATATTGAATTTGTGATGTTTAAGCTCTGCATTATAAGGTGTTTTTTAATGTAAAAAATTCTTGTTTTAAGTAGGAAAACACTAAAAAAAATTATGCAGAAGAAAACATTTACTGTTTTGAGGTAGGCCTTTGGTTGAATGTCTAGCTTAAGAGTCTCATCAGAGATATTTACTTTACGAAGGTTACCTTTTTAATAATATTTTGGTAAATTGTCACACCAAATTACAAACACACAAAAACACATGTATACATATACACAATACATTGACCAGTCAGTTGTATGTTTTGCTTTTACACAGAATTTATTTTTTATTTAAAACATTTATAAAGCTGCCCATCTTTCATCCAACTCTGGGTGGCTCTCAATGAAAAATTAAAAATCATAAAATCATATTGAGCTATAAACTACAACCAATTAAAACACCAAAAACACCGAAACCTGGCATACAGTTTGCCTGAAGGGCATCAAATCAGTTCTAGATTAGATTTAGTAAAAGCATTTAAGAAATGCTTGTGGTATAGTTGGATTACAAAGAATTTTGATGATCTTATTTTCAGGCCTTCAGTGTTTGCTTTTAATCGAGCTTACAGTGTGGCATTTTTTGGATGTTACGCAGGCCTGTGATTGTTCCTATGGCCCTTTGAACTTACAGTTTTCATCCCTCACCTGTACTCCTGCTTACGTTTCCCTTAGGCATTCATAAGACCCTCATGCAAGGTATATGAAATCAAATGTCACATAAGAATTTGCTGATACTAAAAGATGCTGTGATTTTAATAGGAATTTAGATTTTTCTGGCAGAGATAACAAATATTGAATGAGAGATCGGCTATATTATTTTATTCTGGCAGAAGCAAGTAGCAGGACAATGTGTCCTGATCAATCCAATATGGCATCCAGTTCTGTTCACAAGAGATTCGCAGTTCCAGAAGCTATCTACATATTTGCAAGGATTTGCTGAAAAGTTTAAAAAGAGGAAACATGAATAAAGGTGAGAAAGTACCCAAAGTATAACTGCTAGGGACTCTTTTACAATTGTACGCAAAATTTTAGAACTTAGAATAAAACATACGTATTTTTAATAGGGTGCTTTAAAGCTGAAGATTTTAAAAATACAGCTCATCAGTCTGGAAGCCATGTTACATATCTGATATTAGCACAGTTGAGAAAGTCCAGAAATATTTCACAAGAAGAGTTCTCCACTCCTCTATTCATTGTAGAATAACTTATGCCACCAGACTTCAACTTCTAGACCTAGAAAACCTTGAATTATGCCGTCTTTGATCTGATCTAAGTATGGTATATAAAATCATACATTGCAATGACTTACCTGTCAATGAATACTTCAGCTTCAACCATAACAACACAAGAGCACACAATAGATACAAACTCAAGGTTAACTGCACCAAACTTAATTGCAGGAAATACGACCAGCAACAGAATGGTCAATGTCTGGAATACTCTACCTGACTCTGTGGTTTCTTCCCCAAACCCCAAAAACGTCCCTGTCCTATTGTTTCTTTTATTTTTCTTATATGTACCCATTTCATGCATTCATAACTATGTATATACTTATACCTATTATCTTGTAAGCAATTGACAAATCAAATAAAATAAATAAAATGAAAATAAAATACTCTGGTACTTAGAGTAATTATTTTAGAGAATATATTAGAGCAATTATATATAGCTGCTGAATTAGTTTCAACAATAACCCTGAACAAAATTCAGAGAAAGCTGGTATGGATTTTAAGTTCTTAATAAGCTAAAATGGATTGATATCATCCTCATCTTTTCTGATTCAACTGTCTGGGCTCAGCAACTACTAGTATGGGCTCATATACAAGCACCATTGAGGCAACTCTAGATATCTGGTTATCCCATGAATAAATGTTTCATTTTGTGGTGGTCCAGTTGTCTTGCCTAGGTTTGCCTTGCTGGATAGCTGACCGTCTTCCATTATGCCTGTTATTCTACCAAGAGGCAGTTAGCTGTTCATATAAAATCTGTTCTTTGGTGACATGACATGATCTTTAAAAATGTTCATTTAATAATTGAGCTTTTTTTTTAAAAAAACTTACTGCATAGTCCGTTGTCACAAGCCAAAGGACAGTCCGCACAAGGTGGTCCTGATTTATATGGAGTAGCAATTGAACCTTTGATGTTCCCTCTGGAATGAAAAAAGATGAACAGGATGGTGTTATTACTCTTACATTTGTGATTTCCAAAACCCCCATGCAGGATCACTAGATAATTCACTTTGTTTGCATTGTCTTGGTATCTCTGGTTTGGGTTTTCAGTTTTGAGATAGCAGACAGCACCATCAAAGGGGAAGACCTGACTTCTGAGGTCTTCTCCAAAAGGCAGTAAATTCTGTCACGTTTTGTGAGAGAGCAAAAAAAAAAAGATTTTCTCAGCTTGTTAAAGAAATAATTGAAGGAAACTTTGATTTCCTCCTCATGTCTTCCTTTTTCCCCTGTTCCAGTTTTCCTCGTTCTTTATTAACACCCTTTCTCCATCTCTCTTTCTTTCTCAGTTCTCTCTAAGCAACACAGAAAGGATTTCCTCCATTCCTGCCAATCATAGGCTATGATTGCTTGAGGATGCAAGTCTGCCTTCTATGCATATTATCCATGTTGCTTCTATGCATGTTATGTTATGCATGGTTTTTTTTCCCAGGTATTGCCCATAATTGGGGAGAAACCATGTGACAAAACATGTGATTGCAGGTTGAAGATTTCCAGTTCCCTTCCTGGAATTGCCACTCAAGTTAAAAAGAATAAGATGAATGGAAAAGTAAGCTAAATAAATAAAAAACAATGAACCGGATTAGGACAAAAATTAAATTTAATTAAAATTAAAGATTAAAATTAAAGAAATTGAAATAAATATAATCTAACAGTAAATTCCATGTGGTAAATAATTTGTCCCTTTTGCTCATGTCAAAAATAGTAAATTAGTATTCTGGGGGCTGCTTATATTCTGGTCTAGAAGGAAAAAGAAGATATCCCTCCATCCCTCCATCCATCCCTCCATCCATTGCTTTCTATTTTCTGGATGGATGCATGCATTGAATGAATTTCTAGGCTACTCATTTCCAAAAAAACCTTTGTTCAGCCTCATGAGCTAGAGAAACAATATGTTAAAAAACAGATATCCAAGCAACAACATAACATCCTGCCACGTTATGACCAACACAGAAAGATATTTCAGGGAAATTGTAGAATTATCTAGGTAGTCTTCATTCAGTGATTGACTTAGACAGCAAACTTTTGCAATCATGATGCTGACAAAAAAAGCCAATGTTGCTACCAATCCTTGCTTTTACAACCCTTGCTGGTCTGTAAAAGTAGAGGAAAGTGAGATTAACACAGTAACACAGCCATTATTCCCCTTTATGACCACTTGGCTTAGTGACTGAGTTGCCAGTCCAAATTGTGGTCACTAAATGAGGACTACCTGTATGGCCTTTTGTTTAAAAATCCCAAAGTCAGTTTTAGAATAGAATAGAATGGAATACTTTTTTGGCCAAGTGTGATTGGACACACAAGGAATTTGTCTTGGTGTAAATACTCTCAGTATACATAAAGAAAAGGTACACTTGTTAAGAATCAAGAATTATAACGTACAGCACTTAATAATAGTCATAGGGCACAATCAACAATCAAATCATACTAGGAAACAGTCAATATAAATCGTAAGGATACAAGCAACAAAGTTACAGTCCCACAATCACAAGTGGGAGGGGATGGGTGATAAGGCGTGATGAGAAGATTAACAGTAATAGTAGTGTACATTTTGTAAATAGTTGAACAGTGTTGAGATAATTATTTGTTTAGCAGAGTGATGGCTTTCAGGAAAAAACTGTTCTTGTGTCTAGTTGTTCTGGTGTGCAGTGCTGTATAGCCTTGTTTTGAGGGAAGGAGTTGAAACAGTTGATGTCCGGGATGTGAGGGGGTCTGTAAATATTTTCACAGCCCTGACTTCCGGTTTGAGCCTCTTTGGCGAGCACAGACCGAAACCTCATCTGTCCGAGGCTTCGATCCGGGCTTGCTGCTGGAGTGCCCCGAGCCAGCTGGTTTCAGGGCTAAGCCACCCCATAGAGGTGGTGAAAAAGGGGGAGAAAGCCTGCAGGGTTGAGGAGAGCCACATCTCTCCCCTCCAGCTGGCCATTACTCCCTTTCCTGAAGGCAGTTGTAGTGGTGGTCAAAAATGGCCACCACAAAGAAGAACTCGACCGGAAAAGAATGTGCAGGAGGAAGATAAGAAGAGAAAGTTTTGGTTGGCCAGGTCAAACAGCAAAAGCAACAAATAAGGTACCCTGGAATTTAAACTTAACAACATTGTTCCCAAAGAAGATTTTGAAGATGCGAGGGAGAAAGAGAAGGGAAAGGATTAGGGTTTTTTTTCTTCCCTTCCTTATACTGATAGCTAAGAGACTTAAGCAAGAAACTGAAAAAAAAATCCACTTTGACATTAATAGGCATCTAAGCTGAAAATAAAAGTCAAAGGGATAAATAAAGATTTCTGGACATTTAAAAGTTTTTAAAAGCTGGAAAGGAGAATAAAAAAAGAATAGAAGGGCAGGATGTGGAAAAATGGAGGAGACTGCCTGGAATTAAGGAATGGAACTGTAAGAAGCTTATATTACACTTATTCCAAAAGAAGGGGCTGATCCATTACAAATCAAGAACTATAGACCTATTTCTTTATTGAATGCAGATTATAAAATTTTTGCTTCAATTTTGGCAGAAAGGCTTAAAAGATACTTAAATAACTTTATTCATCCCGATCAGAATGGGTTCCTGCCAAAGAGACAAATTAAAGACAATATGAGGGTAATTCTGGACACTTTGGAATATTATGAGGCACACCCTGAAAAACAAATGGCCTTGATATTCCTAGATGCCCAAAAGGCATTTGATAATGTGAACTGGAGATTTATGTTACTACTACTGGAACAGGTGGGTTTTGCCAGAAAATTTATTCAAGCAATAGAAGCCATATATCATAAGCAAACGGCAAAAGTAATGTTAGAGGGAGAATTTACAGACTCTATTAACATAAGAAAAGGCACAAGACAAGGATGCCCATTATCACCTTTGTTATTTGTATTGACTTTGGAAGTTTTGAATAGAAATATTAGAGAGGACCAAAATATAAAAGGAATGAAAATCAAAAAGGAGGAATTTAAACTACAGGCCTTTGCGGATGATCTGGTTTTCATTCTGGAAGACCCTCTAGAGACAGCTTTAAAATTATTGGAAAAGATAGAGACATAGGGTGAGATGGCTGGTTTGAAAATAAATAAAGATAAAACAAAGATCCTGACAAAGAACATGTTATTAAGACAAAGAGAAGAGCTGGCAGACCTGTTGAAAATTCAAGTTATGAATCAAGTTAAGTATTTGGGGATATATTTGACATCAAGATGCACTACATTGAAAAAGAATAATTATATTAAACTCAAACAGCAGATAGCACTTGATCTGAAGAATTGGGAAAACCTACAACTGTCATTGATAGGCAGAATTTCAACAATCAAGATGAATATTTTACCCAGAATTTTATATTTGTTTCAAACAATACCCATTAGGCTTGGCAAAGATTATTTTGAAGACTTAAATAAAATTGTGTTGAAGTGTATATGGCAAGGTAAGAAAGCGAGAATAAAATTAAAACTTCTACAAGATGCTAGAACTAGAAGAGGATTTGGCCTTCCTAATTGGGAGTTGTATTATCAAGCTGCAAATTTGATGTGGGCTAAAGGATGGATAACATTAAGAAAGATTGTTGGCACTAGAAGGACATGATCTATTACTGGGCTGGCATGCCTTTCTGTGGTACAAGGGAACTAAATCGCAGGGCTATTTTAGAAGGCATTATATACGGGAGTCTTTACGGTTAAACTAGGAGAAAATTAAGAGACAATGTTATTTGAAAACCCCAGTTTGGTTATCAACTATTGAAGCTTTTTCTTATCCTATAATATACAAGAAGGAACAAACAGTTAGATATGGGGAAATATTGGATGAAAAGGGTGAACTTAAAACGATGCAAAACTTAGAAGAACAAGGTATAAAGATGAATTGGTTTTCATATGCGCAAATACACTCAAGGTATGTTAAAGATTCTAAAACAGAGGGATTTTATGATAAATTGACTGATTTAGATAAGATTTTGACAGGTACTGATGAAAAAGTGATTAAAAAACTATATGGTTATTTACTGGAAATTAAATTAGAGGAAGAACAAGTTAAAGAAACAATGATTTTTTGGGGGAAGAATTTTGGATATGGGATTGACTTAGAGAAATGGCAAAAATTGTGGTCTCAAAATTATAAAATGACAATATCAACAGCATATAAAGAAAATTTGTATAAGATGTTTTACAGGTGGCATTTTCCCCCAACAAGAATGTTCAAGAATAAATCTGAAAAGTGTTGGAAATGTCATCAGATACCTGGCTCATATTACCATATGTGGTGGACTTGTGAGGACGCTAGAAAATATTGGACTAAAATTCGCATATGGTTGGAAAAAATGACAAAGAAACATATAGATTTAAAACCAGAGATTTTTTTATTGGGAATCTTACCTGATACATACAATAAAAATTTGAAATATTTGATTGTAAATGTATTAACAGTGGCTAGGATTGTATTTGCTAAAAATTGGAAGAGTGAGAAAATACCATCACAGGAAGAAATTATTAAGACAATATTGGAATGTGCTGAAATGAGTAGATTGACATTTGAAATTAGAGAACAAGAAGATAAACAATTCTATGAAGTTTGGGACCTTTTCTATCAATGGTTAGATAATAAAATATAATAATAGAATATTTAGAACCTTAGGAAACAATGAATACATATTTCCTTTTTTTCTATGATATTATCTTTATAAAATTTTATTAAGATAGACTTGGTATGACTTGATGATTTGCTATAAAATAAATTAAGTAAACTATAGTTATCTCGCTAAAGTATAAATTAATAAAATTATAGTCAAATGATTCTTTAATAATGATATCAGGCTATATAATTGTTGATTGATAATATGAGCTATTATACAATATAACTACAATGGAGACTATGAAATGGATGCACAAAAAAAAGTGATAAACCAACCGATACACTGTCTGTAAACTCATGAAGGAAAGGATGATGTTTTTATGTTTTATGTGTTTTTGTTTGTTGTTAAAATTAATAAAATTGTTTTTTTTTAAAAAAGGAATGGAACTGTAATTAAAAGGAACTTAGAATGAAATTTTAACAAGATTCCTCAAAGATACATTTTAATGGAAACTTGGTAACAAAATAATAGAACCCCAGGAAGAGAAAGTGGAAAAAAGAAGCAAGTAGAAACAGCCTTGGATTATTTGGATTACTTGGTGATTTTTGGTTTTTACATCTAGATGACTAAAATTAACTGGGTGGTTGTTTAAAAGTTTTTAAAATGGTATCACTCTTAGAAGAACTGAAAATGGAACTTAAAAAATGGAAAGAAGACGCACAAGAAGGGAGAAGTTCTTTTGGTTTCGTGTTTCAGTTCTTAGAAATGGAGATCTGGAACTATGAGAAACAACAAGAAATGCTTGCAGAACAAGAAGATTGGGACAAAGAAGAAGCCATCTTTAATGATCAAATAATTTTAAGTGGGGGGAAAAAGAAAAAGGAGGAAAGAGAGTGAAAGGTTTAAGATTAGAAAAAACAACCAAAAAGAAGAACAATCTGAAAGATAAATATAATATTAGAAAGCAACAGAAGAGAGGATTACAGATGAGAGAGTTAGAAGTAGAGAGATGAGGGGGCTAAAAGGGGAGGGAGAAGAAGAGGGGGAAGAAGGCAAGGAAAAGAAGTTGTAAAAGACAGAAACAAGAAATGGAGAAACAGGGAAAAGATATAAGGATTGTAACCATAAGTTTGTTTAGAGATAATGGCAAAAGGGATTCTGCAAAGGTACATAAGTTAGTTTTGTTATATTACAAATAGAAATAACTTTAGAAAGTATGATGATGGATAAAATAGTTATTGTAACGCAGTGGGATCTTTGTTAATAAATAAATGAATTAAAATGATTCAGAGAATTAAAAGGGAACATTTTTAATTATTAATAATGATTTATAAAAATATAAGTGAGAAATATGGGGGAAAAAAATTAACTATGGAAAGTTTATAAGTTTTCCCAAGAAAGTATGATATTCAATTGAAAAGAAATGTTAAAGATGTTAAGGTTTTAATGCATATTAATGATAAAATTGAATTGGAATGGAATGTG